GGCGAGTGCCACAATGTCACCCAGAACCCGCTGGGCCACTACCTCTGCCACAACTGTCACTTTGACCTGGTGAGTGGGGACCTGGACCCCCAAGAGGGGGAGTTTGGGGTCAGGGATGCTCTGGGCCCCCCTGGCTCTTGTGCTGGGTGGTGGCAGTGGGGCTGTCCCTTGTCCCCTGTACCCCTGTTGACAGGTGCTCTCTCTGCAGATGGACAACAATGGCACCCTCTACTACAGCCACGTCCAGTGAGTGTCTGTGCAGTGGGGACAGAGCTGTCCCCACACTGGGGTGGCACCTCCTGGGTTTGGTCATGTTCCTGCATCCCTCCCAGGGCCCCTCTCCACCCCAGTGATCCAGCCCCCCATTTCCTCATCCCCAGGGGAAGTCCCCTGGGGTGTCCATGCCAGACCCTGGTGGCACTGACAGTGTCACCTGTGTCCCACAGACCCCTGGTGTACACGGTGTCCATCCTGCTCCCTGCTGCCTACCTCATCGGGCTCTTCTTCACCCTCAAAACCCACACACACATCTACGACATCCACATCAGCGACTGTCACAGTGAGTGTCCCCAAGCGTCCTGGCTGCAGGGCCGGCTCTCGTCACTGCTCTGCAGTGTCCCACACGTCTCTGCTCTCTCCCCAGTGCCTGGCCACCACCACAGTGCTGTGGTGCACTGGTCCCGCTGGCGGGCCCTGGTCATCCTCCTGCTCTCCACCCTCTGCATGTCGGCCTGTGCTGACCTGGCCACGGAGCACATCAGCCCCATCCTCACCAACTCCACCATCTCACAGGTGAGCTGCCTCTGGCTGGCCCCGAGGACCAAGATGTGCCCTCCAGGGAGGGGGACCTGCCCTGGATGCAGCTGGAGCCCCAAAAGCAGTGGGGGAAGGTGCTGAGATGCTCTGCACAGTTGGCCAGGATGTGGTCAGGCTGATGTCACCTCTTCCCTGCAGTACTTCATCGGTGTCACCGTGCTGGCAATGGTGCCTGAGCTGCCAGAGATTGTCAATGGCATCCAGTTTGCCCTGCAGAACAATCTGAGCTTGAGGTGAGATGGCTCCAAGAACGAGTTTTGGGGTGGTTCCTGTGCCTTGTCCCAGTCCCATTGCTTTGGTGTCCATGATGAGCTGCCCAGCCACTGGTGGGTTAGAGTCTGTGTCAGCTTGTCCTCAAGGAGATGAGTCACCCAAAAAGTGGTGTCAGAACTGGGATGGGCTCTGTGGTTTGGGATTTTCTCACCCAGACACAGCCCCTAAGTTGTCCTTCCTCCTCAGCATCGAGATTGGGAACTGCATCGCAGTGCAGGTCTGCATGCTCCAGATCCCCATCCTGGTGCTCTTCACCATCTTCTACGTGAGTAACGCCAGGCCAGCCCTGGGGGACTGTCCCATGGTGTCCATGGGACATGGAAAGGACACAGCTGCCCTTGCCAGTGTCTCCTCTCTGCTCAGTGCAAGTGGGGTCAGATGTCTCCTGGTGCTGTCCCCACCCTGGGGATGTGTGGCAGAGGGGGTTTAGGGGGTGACACACACGTCCCCAGGCAGAGTCAGTGCGGGGTTGTCCTGGTTGACCATAAACCCCAAATCCTCGTCCTCGCAGCCGACCAACTTCACGCTGGTCTTCAGCGACCTCCATGTCTACGCCAGCATGTTCAGCGTGGTGCTCATGAACTACATCTTCATGGATGGCAAATGTGACTATTTCCAAGGTGAGCACCTCCCACAGGGCTGCTCTGGGGCTTGGAGCACCCCTGTATTCCCTGGGATGTGGCATGGGGGGCTCCTGGCTCCAGCCCTGGGCTCTTCTGCTTTTTGGGGCTCTTGGCGTGTGGTGACCTGAGCGATCCTGGGGTCTTGGTTGACCAGCTTGGAGCTGTTCCCCTGCAGCAGCTCCAAGGGGATCCACTCCCATTTCCCCCTTTAAACTCCTTTCAAGGTTTTAAACTCCCTTTTAATGGACATTTTGTAGAGAACCATGGAAGTCCTCTACAGGGGGCTAATCCAGACCCCTCCAGGTCTAAACCCATGTCCCTCCTTGCTCCAGGGAGTAACTCCCTCCACCCCTGTCTGTCTGCCCAGGCACGGTGCTGGTAATGGTTTACTTCATCCTGCTGGCCGTGTATTTCTTCGCCCCGTCGCCCAGCGGCTGCTGAGCTTTGGATTCTGTGTCTCCAAGCCCCTCGTTGGGATCAGCACCCATCAGGACCTTTTCCAGTGTCTCAGGGACCCGGCCGGGCTGGCTCCGGTCTGGAAGCGCCGTTTCCCGAAGCTGCTGCTGCTCAGCTGCCCTGTGGGCCCTCAGGGATGGCAAGGGTGGTGGCAATGGGATGGCTCCCAAAATGAGGAGCCTCGAAGGCAGAGCACGTCACACGGGCATCTGCAGGCCCCGCTGGAGTGGCTGAAGGAAAACTGTCCTTAGAGGAGGGTCTGGAAGGGATTTCTGTGTGTCTCGAGGACAGACCCCTCCCTGGGGCTGTGCTGCACTGGGAGGAGGTGCCTGAGAAATCCCTCATCCTCCCAGGCCTGCCAGGGGCCTGGGAATCGCACACGGGATGTTTGATGGCACCAGAAATGCACCCAAAGGTATTTTCAGCTGTTTGTCATTAAAGCACTTTTGTACAAATCAGAAACAAGTTTGTTTCTCCTTAAATGGGCCTCAGGCACCAGCCTGGGCCCTGTGTGGCCACCATTCCCTGTCCTCTGTCACCTCACCCCAGGGACAGAGCCAGCAGGGGTGGCTGTGGGCTCCAGCTTCCTCCATGACCCTCCCAAAGCTCCAGCTCATCCCCAGCCTGGTCTTCTCTGATTGTCTTTGGTCCTCCTGGCTTTGAGGGCTGTCCCAGACTCCTGAGAAGGTTCAGGGCTGCTCCTGGTGTTGTCCATAGGGTGTGACAGGCTGGGGACATCTCCCTCCACGCAGGGAAATGCTGGTGGAGGAGGTGAGAGGACAAAGTTGGGGCTTGGATATGTTTATTATCTTTAAAACAAAAACAATCCCAAAGCAAAACACTGACAGACCCACGAACACAGGCAAGGGGGCTCTGGTGCCTCTTCCCTCTCCTGTTCCTTCAGCATGAAAGCCAGGGAGTGCTGTCACAGCAGGGCTGGACTGTGCCAGGATGGACAGCCCTGAGTGAGGCAGGAAGCAGCCTGGGCTGCCCTCCTCTGCAGGGCAGGCAGCAGCTCGTTAATGATTCATGAAGCTGCTTTATTAAGCCTTTTGTTTTCCTAGGGAGGCATCAGCAGGGCCAGTCCTGCTGTCCCTAGCCTGGGACATTTGGGGCATTGCCAGGTGAGTGGCTGGAGCTTCTGATGGCAGGACATGGAGAAGGGATGGGAGAGCAGGAGCTGTAGGAGAACCTGCTCAGGAATTCTGCTCTGAGCTGGCCTTCCCTGCCTCCTCCCATCCTGTCCCCATCCCAGGCAGCACTGTGGATGCTTCTACCCCTCTCCAGCAGTTGCTGCAGGTGCTGGATCCTCTCCCTCTCCTTAGGGAACTTTAATTAAGCTTTTAACCACAGGCAGTAGCCCAGCAGCAATTAAAGCCCCCCTCAGCAGGAGCTGTGAGCTCAGTGCTTAAACCAGGTCATTCTTTCAGGAAGAGCAGCCCCCAAAGATCTGCTGTCCCTCCTGCAGCAGCCAGTGGAGGCTATGGAATGGGAAAGATCCCTGGAAAATCCATCCGTGGGTGGTGCTTGTACAGCTTTTATCAGCAAAAGAGAACTCCTTGGACCTTCCTTTGTGGTTTTCTTGGTGATGCTTTCCCAGCTGCTGGGGCTGGAGGGATCCACAGGGATCAAGTCCAGCTCCTGGCCCGGCCCAGGACACCCCAACAATCCCCCCTGGCTCTGAGAGCATTGTCCAAATGCTCCAGGAGTTCTGGCAGCCTCGGGGCCGTGCCCATTCCCTGGGGAGCCTGGGCAGAGCAGGACAATCCTGGCCTGTCCCTCCTGGCTCCAGGGCACTGCTGTCCCACCGGCCAGGACCCCCAGGTCCCTTTCCCCAGCCTGTCCTGGATGCACTTGGCTGAGTCTGAAGATTCCATCTCCTGGCTTTCCAGGATCATCCAGGTGGGTTGTGCTGTTGGAACAGGAGATCAGGGGGGCCAAGCAGGATTTCCCTCTCCTGAGGCCGTGCTGGCTGTCACCCATGGCCGTGCTGGCTGTCACCCGAGGCCGTGCTGGCTGTCACCCATGGCCGTGCTGTCCACCTGAGGTTTTTCAGTATTTCCCAGAATCATCTTTTCCAGGGTTTTACCAGGCACTGAAGTGAGACTGACAGCCCAGTGGTTTCCACAGTCATCCCTTGAAAACTGGGACCAGCTTCCAGCCAGCTGAGACCTCTCCAGAGTCCCAAGACTGCTCCAACATCATCGACAGAGGCTTTGTGACAACCTCAGAGGAAGCTCCAGAGGTTTCCAGAGGAAGGACGACCTAAGGAATGTGCTTGCTCAGAGATCTTGGATGGCTCCAGGATCCCCCTGGGGATGAGGGCAGATGCTCTTGAAAGCAGCTGAGAGAAAAAGCAGCACAGGGATGGCCAGGCTGCTCCAGGACAAAGGTCCCACAAGGCAAAGATGAAGTGTGGGTATTCAGCCTCAGTTTGGGATGGAAGAAGGAGCTGGAGAAATGGTCCTGCAGGTCACTGCAAGCCAGGGCAGCAGAGCAGGGAACCCTCCCCAGCCACAGCTGCCAGCAGGGTCTGGATTCAGCAGCCAGGGAGGCTGGGAAGGGGTTGAGATGCACAGTTCCTGTGAGGGTGCAATGCAGGGGATGGAGACAGCAGAGCTCCAAGCAGCTCCCACCACTTCCTGTGGTCCAAGCACCTGAGAAAGCCTCAGCTGTGAGGTCCAGACTTTGTTTTCTGAGCCTTGGGGGGAAAAAAGCAGCAACTGAAGCTGGAGGAAGAGGAAAATCTGTTCTCAAGACCAGGGGAAGCTTAATTTTGGGACAAGGGGCGAGTTCCCTTCGTGGAGGGCAGTGACTCCAGCAGGCAGCACCTTTGGATTAACAACATGAAGACAATGCTATGGTTTATTTAAACATAAATGCCATTTCTTAAAAAGAAACTAAAACCTCAGAGTGTAACCTCTGCCTTTGATGAAGAGGAAAGCATTGGGAAAAGCTGATTTTAAAAACAAAAGGCACTTAAAAATGGGCTCCAACTGAAAAGGATTTTGCACAAACCTCATGCCTGGAGCTGTTCAGAGTTCAGTGGCCACTTAAACAAATGCAGTGTAGAGAGCACAAGAGGACCAGAGGCACCCCTTCCTGTGCAGGGACAATCCCTGTCCCCAGAAGGAGGGACAGTTGCTCCCTCTCCCTTTTTTGGATGCTGTATTTCCTGGGCTGAGCGATCCACAAAGCCACTCCCCAAGCCAGCTTTAAATCACATCTCCCACCCTCAGGGCAACGTGAAACAAGAAGAAAAAGGCCAATTTTTGGCATGTGTGGGAGGAAGGAAAACCAAAAGCTGGGAGATGCTGAGAACCATGGCTTGGCTGAGCAGGTTCCAAGAGCTCTGAAATCTACAGGGTAAGTCCTTGCTGGAGCTCGTTGTGGGTGCAAAGCGAGGCAAAAAGGTTCAAAAAGCCTCAGGAAAAGCTTTTCCCTCCCCACCCCCAGTAAACTACACAGTAGTCCCTTAAGTGGCAACCTTTTCCCAGTCTTCCAAGCAAACCTTTCGCTGTGAAAAGGGGAGGACACAGACACTGCACCGGGGGAGCTGCAGGCCCAGCTGGGCTCGCGGCCCGGGCGACGTTCCAGCCGTCTGCAGGGGCTCGGGGTGGGAACATGCCCAGGGAACATGCAGGGCTGGGGGAACGGGCTGGCTTTGGACAGGGGCTCAGCTGGCTGCCAGGGAGGGGGCAGCCACAGCCAAAGAGCAGCCTGGTGCTCGTTCTGCATCGTGTCCCTCGCTGGATGCCATGGTGGGAGTACCAAGGTGAAGGTGCCACGTTGAGCACGGGCTCGGACATTCAGTAACTCATTAAGCTCCCCAATTAACTGCAAGCGTGTGCTGATGACAGGGTGCTGGTTGGCTGCTTAGTCTCAGAAAATACTTTTGGATTAATGGTGTAACTTAAGAGCTCCATAAATAAAAAGGGGACTTTCTCTTTTTTCTCCAATGACTAAAAGTAACCATGTCTGGAAAGGCATTGATGTATTTGCTGAGTAAGGCCTTGAGCAGGTTCCTCCATGTTCTTAGCAAGACCATCCGTGGAATCCATAAATAGGGGGTGGGAGGGGGAATTCTTCAACGTGGTGAGTCTTGGACAGAAGTGGGAGATTGCTCATTTTAGTCGCTCAACGAGTCCCTGCGTCAGTCCAAGGTGCAAAAGCTGGGATCTGGAGAGAGTTGCTAGGTGAGGGAAACATTCCAGGAGCTTCTCCCAGCACAGTTCCAGCAGGCTGGGCACCACCAGCCACATTTTGAACAGGGAGCCAGTCCGTTTGTTTTCGTGGATGTTGACCACCCCTCCGTGGATGTACATGCAGCCAGCCTGGGTGGGAAAGGGGGACAGGAGTTACAGAGGCAGGAAAAGCAGGAATGGGCTTCATTCCCACCTCCCAGCCTTCAGCAGGGCTGTCCCTGCCTCTGCCACTCGCTCTGGGATCCTCTGAGTCAAGGGAGGAATCGCTGCTGGAGGGGCCCTGTCTCATCCTAAACCACTTATGCACCACCCTGAGTGCTTTGCTCTGAGGTTGAGGTGACTTCTATCCCAAGAAATCCATTTTAGGAGTGTGGCAAACTGTTCATACAGTAGTACAGAGCCATACTCATGTTCCAGCTCAAAAGAATGTATTTTTAAACTCCACCCACCTCACACAGACATCCTGCATTCCCTTGGCTCAGCACAACCCTGCTCCAGGGATGACAGGAACACAGAGAGATGGGCAAAACTCAGCTGCTGAGTGGGTTTTTTTTTTTTTTTTTCCACAGGCTGGCAAAGAAAGGGCATTCCAGCTGTCCAGGCAGTCACTGAGCTGCCTGGGAAACACCTTTATCAGACTTCCCAGGAAAAGCTGCTTTTATAACATTCCCCAAATGCAGTGACACCAAGGAATGTGATCTCTGCCCTGAGGAGCTGAGGGAGGTGAAGGTACAGCCCAGGCACTTCTTGCTGCCTGGTAATTATCAATCCCGGGTCTCCAGACTTCTACTTAAGGCCAAAAGCTCTGGCAATACCAACATTCCTTAGTGGCTTCCAAAGGGTTGGAAACAGCCTCATCCAATCCTTCACCTCAGGCTGTTCTCAGTAGGATAAAATCACTTTACTCAGGGAGTATTTGTGCTTTTTTTTTTTTCTCCTTTTACAAGCAGGAACTGCTGTTCCCACACTGACTTTAAAAGCTCGAATTCTGCATCATTTCTTTCAGAAAGCAAAATGCACAGTGTGGCTCCACTCTTCAAAGAGCAGCAGGAAGAAGAGCCTCCCAAAAGCTGCTGCATGCAGTGGAGGTCACTTCCTTGGGAATCTCAGCTCTATCTGCAGCCCACAGCAAGGTAAGAGTGCTTGGAGGAACAAAAGGAGTCACTTACTGGGGTGACAGCAGCACAGTGGAAGTACACAGGCTCTGGCATGGCAGCTGGGAGCTTGACCCACTGGAAAGTTTGGAGATTCAGCTTCCAAACATCTCCCAGAATCACCTCTCCGTTGTAGCCCCCGCACACGAACACATCTGCAAGAGAGGGGATGTGGGGGGGAGCTGCCAGACCAGCCCTGCAGGAACCAGGAACACGCTGGGAGAGAGCTCAGGGATCCCTCCCCACACAGCTTTGGGATCAGAAACTGTTTGAGCTCAACAAAGACTCCCAGGACCTCCCAAATCAGGCCCACCACAAAGCAGAGGCCACCTAAAGATTCCCAGACTGACTTGGGGGGAAGGGACCTCAAAGCCCATCAAGTTCCAGCCTGATGGGCAGGGCCACCTCCCCCTGTCCCAGGCTGCTCCAGCCCCAGTGTCCAGCCTGGCCTTGGGCATTGCAGGGATGCAGGGGCAGCCCCAGCTGCTCTGGCAATTCCAGCCCAGCCAGGAATTCCTCATTGCCAAGATCCCATCCCTGGCTGCCCTCTGGCACTGGGAGCCATTCCCTGGGTGCTGTCCCTGCAGGCCTTGGCCCCAGTCCCTCTGCAGCTCTCCTGGAGCCCCTTCAGGCCCTGCCAGGGGCTCTGAGCTCTCCCTGGATCCTTCTCCTCTCCAGGGGAGCACCCCCAGCTCTCCCAGCCTGGATCCCTGGGATCTGAGGGGCTCCAGCCCTGCAGCAGCTCCATGGGTTCCTCTGGGCTCTCTCCAGCAGCTCCAGGTGCTGCTGCTGTGTCCCCAGGGCTGGGGCAGCTCTGCAGGTGGGTCTCACCTGAGAAGGGCAGAATCCCCCCTGCCCTGCTGCCCACACTGGGGTCAGGATGGATTTCTGCCTCATGTCCCCCTTCCCAGCCTGCCCATGAGCCCCAGCCCCCCATGGCAGCCTCAGGGCTGAATGTCACTGCAGGCAGGGGAGCATTCCCTCTCCTCATAGCCCAGACACCTGGGCTTGATCAGATCCCAGGGATTTTGAACCCCCAGGGAGCAGCCCCAGCTCCCAGCCCTGCCTTGCTCCCAGCTTTGCCCAAGTTCTCAGCTCAGGGGTGGCCAAATCCTGGTGGGCTGGAAGCATCTCCCAGCTCCTTACTTTTATTGGCACAATCAGCACTCCTAGGAAATACAATCCAGCTTTTCCCTCCACCCTTCAACAGAGAGCATTCAGCCACTGACCTGAAGGGTTTGGAAAAGAGGGACCAAGATTGTAACTGGCTTTTCAGTGCAGGAGAAGGAATGGTGCTAAGTGGGCAGCTTCAAGCCTGTTAGTGAGGAAAAAATCCTCTTCCAGAAAAGCCATGTGGTCCCTGCAGTTCTCTCCAAGCCTCCCCTGTTTGGTTGTACAAGATACACCAATTTTCCAGAGGTAAATCTTACCATTTTTAATCTGCACACAGCTGTGGCATCTTCTGGCTGCTGGGAAACCTGGGGAGAATCATTTTGAAAATATGTGTCAGCAATAATTGCTTTAAAGTGCTTGTGCAAGTGGTGATTTTGTCTCAACATTTAATAATGGAGTTTCATTGTTAAGAGGTTTTACTTTCCTGCTATCCCAGGTATAAAAGGTGCAATTTTAAGCAGCTGTTTCAGGTTTGAGTCCTAATTCCTCTCTGGGGAAGGAAAAGAAATGCTGGAATTTTGTTCCCCAGAGTCTCAAATCTGGCTTGGTGAAAAGCAGCTGTGAGATTCCAGGGACAGCCCAGGGCCTCAAAGGGAGCAGGGATGATCTGGATCCTCTGGGAGCAGATCCAGGCACTGCCACCTTTCACAGGCAGGGAGAGAGGGGAGCCAGAGTGCCAAACTCCCCTGGATGGGTCCATCCTCAGTGCTGCAGCACAAGCAGGATCTCAAATCCAGCATAAAGCCACAAACTGAACATACTGAACAAGAAAACTGCACCCTCAAGCACCGTGGCCACTCTGGCTCACAGGGAAAGGAAGGAAATGCCAGGCTCACCGACTTTCTCGTGAGGCTTCGTGGTGATCTCCTCCCAGGTGTTGGTTTCCAGGTTGTAGGCGTGGATCTGGGGGCAAGAACAGGAGCCATGAGATCTTCCAGGGTGATGCAGCCACAGGCTCTGACCCACCAGAAATAAATCCCTTTTTTCCATTAAGTGGCAAACCCAAAAATAGCTGATCCCAGCCAGTGACTAAGCAGGTCTAAAATCACCTTTCAAGCTCCATCCCAGCTTTGCTATTTCAGCCCTACAGCTGAAAAAAAGAAAAGAATATTGCTTTTGAAAAGAGCTGGACCAATTAAAATCCACACCCTCGAGCTCTCAGAAGGATTTAGAAATACCTTTCTCCTGCTGCACACAGGGAGAAAAATGGGACAATGGAGAGATGAAATGTCATATAAAGTGCTGCAGACTCCACTTTTTTGGAAGCAGAGCACTATTTAAAGTGACCACAGATTCATCACTAAGACATTCTGTGGCAAATCCAGGTTTTACAGAAATAGGAGAACAATGTGCTCCCAATTATTTTTATTTTTTTTTTTACCAGGCTCTCCAGGCACAGCCAGATGCAGAGGCTGTGCTGGTATGTATGGAAAATCTCCTGTCCAGGGTTCCAAATGCCTCACCTTATCCAAGGAATAAGCTGTCCAGGAAGTTCCACCTCCCAGGATATAAATCCTTTGACCGTCATGAGCAATTTCATGTCTGTACCTGAAGGTGCAGAGCAGCACAATTAGCAACAACAGAAACCCTCCTGGAAATCACCATCAAACTCCAGGATTTGAGCAGAAATCCCAAGCCTGGCTCTGCTGCATCAGCCCCTCAGGCTGGGAGCATGCAGGAGATGTGGGAGTTTTCCTGAGCCCTCCAAGCAGCAGCCCAGAGGTCTGAAAGGCATTTTCTGATTGCAGAGTAATTATTAAATGATTAAGTGGAAGGATTAGTGAATATCAGGACAGCCATCAATATTCCAGCCCCTTCTAAGGGAAGTGTCCAAGGCCAGGCTGGACAGGGCTTGGAGCAACCTGGGATAGTGAAAAGTGTCCCTGCCCATGGCAGGGGGTGGAATTAGATTTATTTTAAGATTCCTATGAACCCAAACCGTTCTGGGATTCTTCCATTCCCAATTCCCTGTTCTCAGTTGGACACCAAACCATGGATGAGAGAGACCAAAATCCTTCCTCCCAGTGCCACAACAAGTTCCAGGCAAAGGAGGGTTGGAAATGGCAACCAGAGCAAGGCATCCCAAAGCTCCCCATTCCCTGCCTCCCCAAAAAAGCTCCCTGAGGCTGCCCAGGCGCTCACCTCTCCTCTGGCATGTCACAGGACATATTGTTTGGCTTCAGCTGGATCCATTCCCGGGTGTTGAGGTCCAGCTTGTGGAGGTCAGTGCTGTAAATGTAGCCAGTTGTTCCTCCAAACACGTAGAGACACCCATTGATGATGGCCATGGCCTGGCAGAGAAACCAGAAAGGGCTTGGGACACCTGGGGCTGGAGGAGAGGGAATTCCTGCTCCTCCAAAGCAGATGGGCACCAGCAAAAAGGGCCAGTCCTGTGGTGAGTGTGAATTCATTTCCTTGTCCACCTTGTTCATCCACTCTAGGAAAAGTCTTAAAAGGTGTCATTGTAATAGAAAGGAACCCTAGGAACTTGCATTTAGAGTTTTGTGTCTGAAGGGTTTTGACTATGAACTACTTCTTAAATCACTTTTTCCATCTTCATTTAGAACTTTGGGTTTTGAAGATTTTGACTATGACCCACTTCTTAAATCACTTTTTTATTTTCATTTAGAGCTTTGGGTTTTGAAGGTTTTTGACTACCAACCACTCCTTAAATCACTTTTTCCATCTTCATTTAGAACTTTGGGTTTTGAAGGTTTTTGACTACCAACCACTCCTTCAATCACCTTTTCCATCTTCATTTAGAACTTTGGGTTCTGAAGGTTTTGACTACAAACCACTCCTTCAATCACTTCCTCATTTTCATTTCGAGTTTTGGCTTTTGAAGGTTTTTGACTACCAAGCCCTCCTTAAATCCAACTTTTCTCATTCAGCTGCACCAGGCATTTAATGAACAAATTCTGCCCTTTCTAACGAGGAGAAAACCTCCTTTCCTTTGAAATCCCCATGAAGCAAGGCTGCTTCATTTCCTCACGAAGGACACCTGCTTTCCCTCACGCTTTTCCCCAGGGGGAGCAGCTCTGGTGAGGCACAGAGAGGGGATTGAGGAGCTGAGAGCCCCCCTCAGGGCTCCCTGAGGCCCGTACCTGGCCGTAGATGCGGTTGGGTTTCTTGCCGCGGCAGCTGAGCAGAGCCCATCTCTTGTACTTGACGTTGCACACGTGGACGTCGTTGCCGTTGCTCTCTCCGAAGGGGATCCCGGTGCCCCCAAACACCAGGAGGTTGTTGCCATGTAAGACAACTGAAAACAGGGGAAAACAGGGGTGTGCTCATGGCTGGGAGAGCAGCAGAACAGGGTTCATCCAGGCTGGGCTGGCCTTGGAGCAAGCTGCTCTAGATAAGGTTGCCCATGCCCATGGTATGGGATTGGATGATCTCGAAGCTCCCTTCCAACCCAAACCATTCCCAAATCATTTTTCCAGGACTGGGCTGGGCTTGGACCAACCTGCTCTAGGGAAGGTTGCCCATGGCATGGGATTGGATGATCTTTAAGCTCTCTTCTAACCCAAATCATTTGTCCAGGCTGGGCTGGGCTTGGAGCAAGCTGCTCTATGGAAGGTGTCCTAGAGGTGTCCTTAAGGATCACTGGATGATCCTTAAGCTCCCTTCCAACCCAAACCATTCCAGGTTTCCCTGCTCTGGAGACAGCTCAGTGCTGTTCAAAATCCCTACAATCCACCCCCTGCACTGATGGCTTTGAGAGGCTCTAAAGGAGAAAGGATCCCAACTAAAACCATGGTAACCAAAGGTCTGCTTTGAAAAGTGAACAAAGACAGCTATTTTTGGATGCTTGGAGATGTCTGCATGAGGCACCTTCCTGCTGAAAGCACATCAAGGTAAACACCTGGAAAACACCTCTTGCTTTCCCATTTTTTTCTTTCCCTCTGCCTTGACCAAGCAAAAATGGAAAGAAAAATCCCAAACCCGACCCAACCTCAGGGCCTACTTGGAAAAACAGCATCCAGATTTCCAATTCTTGCCTGGGTTAAAATAGGCAGGATTAAAATAGCTCCAGGAGCAGGCACGGGAGGAGCTGGATTTCCGTACGTACGTGACATGGAGGCCAGCTCCCTGGGCATGTAGCCTTCGGTGCCCATCTGGTGCCAGGTGTCTGTGGCAAAGTTGTACCTCCAGAGCTCCCTGAAGAGGGGGTAGTCCTCGTTCTCTGGGCCCCCAGACTCATCGTAGTCGGGATTGTAGCCCCCGAAGACGTAGAGGTTGGAACTGTCGGCCACGCAGCGATGGCCGCTCCTGGCCGGGGGGCACCTGTGGCCTGGAGCAGGAGGAGGAGAAACAACAGCTCCACAAGGGCTCAGGGTGTGCCCCAGGCCCTGCAGGGCACAAGATACCTTGTTCATCCACTCTGTGAACAGTCTTAAAAAGGGTAATTGTAATAGAAAGGAACCCTTGCATTTAGAGTTTTGTGTCTTAAGGGCTTTGACTACCAACCACTTCTTAAATCACTTTTTTTATTTTCATTCAGAGCTTTGGGTTTTGAAGGTTTTTGACTACCAACCACTCCTTCAATCACTTTTTCCATCTCCATTTAGAACTTTGGGTTCTGAAGGTTTTGACTACCAACCACTCCTTCAATCACTTCCTCATTTTCATTTCGAGTTTTGGCTTTTGAAGGTTTTTGACTACCAAGCCCTCCTTAAATCCAACTTTTCTCATTCAGCTGCACCAGGCATTTAATGAACAAATTCTGGGCTGGATTCCACAGGGAATCCACTGGGAAGGGCCTGTGCAGCACGAGGAAAGGGCTTTGGAAGGACAAGCTGGCAAAGGGGCACTCTGTGTGTCACCAGCCCATCCCTGGACCACGTGGCAGTTGTGGGCACTACAGCCCTTCTGAGGTGTTGGAGGAAATCCCTCTTCTTTCATTCTGTTTGGCAAATTTCACTTAGAAACAATTGCAAATGTCTGTATTTAAAACTGCCCAATAGAGCAAAGAATGAAGGATTTGCTTTTCCTCCTCCAGGACACCTCCCAGTGACTTCCCTCTTTGCTCCTTGGATCTCAAGACTTTGTCTCAGTCACTAAATTTCCTGTCACTAAACAGAACACTTGAGTTGAGTTTAGTTCTGTTTAGTGACAGAAAATGTAGTGACTTTTGTCACTGAACAGGTCTGACAGAGCAGGGAAATCTGCTCCTGAGTTAAGGCATTTGCACTGGGAGGAGCAGGGAGTCCAGCTGAGATCCTGCAGGCAGATGCAGCCCTGCCCAAAAGGAATCCTCTGCCTGCCCACCCCTAAAAACTCAATGGAAATAAAAGCAGGGAGGACAATGCCAGCTCAGCTCTCCACTGGAACAGATAAAAAGATGGATTCAGCCAGGAAAAACAAACCAGGAATATTCACAAGTAACAGAAATCAAGGTCTTGGCTGACAATTGGCCAAAGCAAACCCAAACAAATCAGTGACCTTCACCTCCCACCTGCTCCTGGATTTTAGGAGAGAAAAGGAGCCAGGATAGCATCTAATGAGGACCCAGAATGTTTTCTTCTGTTATCATTCCCAGCAGTGAATCAAACACTGCAAAAAAAAAAAAAAAAAAAGAAAAAAAGGGTTATGAAGCATTTTTCCTACAGAAAAAGTGAAAAAAAAAAGATTTGTCCAGACCAAATAATGAACTTGAGGTGAGCAGAAGCAGCTTTGCTTAATCATGTTCAGCTCTGGTCCAAAATTAAGCTGCTCTCTGGGGTTCAGACAAGGTTTTGACAGATTTGGGGTGTTTCCAGGAGTAATTGTGTCTCACAGCAATTCCCACTTAGAAAACTAATAGGCACTGGCTGAAAAGAGGGGAAGAAAGTTAAGGAATTAAGGGAAAAATCTGTACTGGGGACATGAATGTTTGTGCACAGAAGAGGGGGGTATTCCACATCCCAATTTAAGAGCTGGTAAGGAATTAGGAGTTCAGATATTATATCAAATAGAGATTTCATTTCCCTCTAGTTCTAACACTTGCCATGAGAATTTTCCAGAGGGAAAAGAGAAGAATAAGGCTGAGTTTTATATAAAGCAAATAAACTAAAGGTAAGAGGAGTAATTCTAAGAAAATAAATTAAACCACACCACCCAGGAGGCCTTCACTGCCATCCACCTCCCAAAATCACCCAGGGAAGGCACCTGACCTTGCCAGAAATCCCAGTTTTCAACAGGAAGGGATGCCACATCCCTGGAAGGGTCCAAGGCCAGGCTTGGAGCACCCTGGGACAGAACTAACCCTGCTCAAGGGTGAAGGTTCCTTCAGCAGCCAAACTCCATGGCTCCCATAAAGAGCTGCATTTCCATGTCATGAGGGCTCACTGGGTGATTCACAGCTCCTGGTGACATTCAGGAGAGGTTTGCAGCAGGTTTTGCTGCCCATTCCACAGGTGTAACTTTTAGGTGGGAAAAATCCCAGGATTTGCTGAGTTTTGTCATGAGCAAAGCCCCTTTTCCCAGAGCTGAACCCCAGAACACCCAAAGCTCAGGGCAGCAAGGCCCCACTGTATGAAAAGCTGGAATTCTGCAGGTCCTGCTGGGAATTCCTTGATGCTGGACATGGAAAGCAGCAGGATCTGCCAGGTCTGGGGGGAACAGGTTGTAAAGTGATGGAAAATGGCTTTAACATGGATGGAGGGATGGATGGATATGATCTGGGAAGCACACACTTTCCCAGTTTAAGATTCCAGAGGGAAGCAGGAAGGAAGGATGGGAAGGTGCATTTACAAGGAGGTTCTTTTTCCTTAGTGCTGAGGGCAAAAATGGGAACAGTAACATTTTCAGGGAATAAGTTCCAGCATCAGAATGAAATTTTACAACAGGATGAGAGGAAACAGCCTCAAGCTGTGCCAGGGGAGGCTCAGAGTGGATGTCAGGAGGAATTTCCTCATGGAAAGGGTTGTTAAACATTGGAAGGGGCTGCTCAGGGAGGTCTGGAGTCCCCATCCCCACCTGGAGGTGTCCAAGGATGTGGCACTCAGGGCTCTGGGCTGGGGACAAGGTGGGAATTAGTCACAGCTTGGATTTGAGGTGCCTTTCCCTGCTCACACAGAGCCCCAGGCACCTCATGTTCTCCAGGGGAGTCCCAGGTCTCCAGGGAAGCAGCAGATCTTCCCCAGGGAAGCTCTGCTTGTTGCATCTGGTGCTGGACAGCCTCAAAAGCAAAAGGTGAGCACCAGGCTGAGCCTCCTGAGCCAGCAGCTCCTCCTTGCAGATCTATGAGTGGATGGATGTCCTGGTGGAGGAGCATCCCAGCCTGGTCAGCAAGGTCCAGATGGGGCAGAGCTACGAGCAGCGGCCTCTGTACGTGCTGAAGGTGGGTCCTGGGGCAGCCTGGCCTGAAAATGCCCCTCAGGGTGAGAGGCTGTGCCAGGGCAGCCTCAGGCTGCAATCAGCAGCAATTTCCCCATGGAAAGGGGCTCAGGCTGCCCAGGGAGCTTTGGAGTGCCCAGCCCTGGAGGTGTCTGAGGAACTCCTGCAGGTGGCACTCAGGGCTCCGGGCTGGGCACAAGGTGGGCACGGGGCACAGGGTGGATTCCATGGGCTGGGAGGGCTTTTCCAACCCAATGGACTCAGTGATTCCAGGCTGAAGCATCACCACAGGGACAGAATTAAGGAAAATCCTAATTAAGGGCTGAGCCATCCAACAGAAAGGGGCTGGCTGGGCACTGTCCTGCTCCATTCCCCTGACTCACCCAGGACTTCTGAGGGAGCTGCTGCACTGACAATCCCAAGCTGCTCCTGACTGAACTCCTCTCCTGCAGGAGCTGTCACTAGGACAGGGCTGAGACAAGAAGGTGTTTCCAGATGTGACACTGGAGCAAAGGAGGCTCAGGGGGCCCTTGTGGCTCTGCACAAGTCCCTGCCAGGAGGGCACAGCCGGGGGGGTCAGGCTGTGCTCCAGGGAACAGGGACAGGAGCAGAGGGAACGGCCTCAGGCTGGGCCAGGGCAGCTCAGGGGGGATTTTGGGACAATTCCTTCATGGAAAGGGTGGCCAGGCACTGGCACAGCTGCCCAGGGCAGGGATGGAGCCCCCGTTCCTGCAGGGGTTTCAAAGCCCTGTGGATGTGGCACCTGGGGACGTGGGCAGTGGTGGCCATGGCAGGGCTGGGAATGGATGGACTCAGTGGTCTGAGAGACCTTTTCCAACTGCAAAGATTCCATCATTGCATGGATATGAGGTTGTTGAGAGCCTCCTGAAACCATCCTTTTCCTTATGACTGTCAGAAACCCTAAACAAATCCATTTCTATCTCAGGGGTGGGTGTGCAGAGGAATGGGGCCAGACTGCTCAGTGACAGGAGAAGGGACAATGGGCACAAACTGAAACACAGGAAATTCCAGCTGGATATGAGGAAAAACTTCTGCTTTGAGAATGATGGGGCACTGAACAAGGTTCCCAGGGAAGCTGGGGCTGCCCCTGCATCCCTGGCAGTGCCCAAGGCCAGGCTGGATGGGGCTGGAGCCACCTGGGACAGTGGGAGGTGTCCCTGCCATGTGACACTGGATGGGCTGAGTTCCCTTCCCACCCAAACCAGCCCATAATTGTACACTCCTTTATCAGCTCCCTTTTTTCCCAAGCTGATTTAATCCCAGTATCCACTCCAGGGTTATCTGCAGCACTTTGAGAACCTCAAAGTCCTTCCTGTCAGGGGAACAGGAACAGTGAAAAGCCTGTGCTGTCCTCAGGGTGTCTGTCCCAAGCAATCCATGATTTAACCCCACACATGCCAGTGCAAGGCCACCCCCCAGGTGGGTGTTACACCACCTCAGTAGCAGCACCACCAGCAGCAGAATTTCTACTTCCAGCCCTACTTTTGGAAATACAAACAGAATAACTACAGGGTGTAAACCCAACAAATCCACCATGGCTTTGGATCCTCCTCTTTTGCACATCCCACATCCATGGTGAATACCCAGGCCTGTGCACACGTCCTTTTCTCTGCTTTTTAAAGCTTTCTAAAGGTGGTTTTGTGATTATTTTTCCTCCTGCCTGGATTTTCAACATCCACAACAGCAGGACTGAATCTCTCCTTTTCCATTTCTGATCCCTGCAGGAATCCTGAAGGCCATTTAGGACAAGGGCTGAACCAGAACAAGACAAGTCAATATTGACTTTGACTCCCATCTTCAAAGTTCCATCTTTTCCACAGCAGCTGGACAAAGTAAGTTTGGAACTCGTGGAATTGGAGTCCCTCAGGAATGTTTGGATAAGCAGGATTGGGAATGCACTGCTGAGAGTGAGGTTTAAAACCTCTTTGTTCACCCAGCTGTGTTCAGATCCCACCCTCCCCTTCCTGGGCAGGCTGCCCACGCCTGGGCAATTCCCAAGAGGAAACATTCCCATGAGGAAATATTCCCAAGAGGAAATTGGGAATTGGGAAACATTCCCAGCTGTAGCTGGGTCCCTGAACAACGGCTCTGAGGGGCTGAGGGAAAGTGGGAGTAGCCAGAGGATCCAGCCAAGGATGCCAAACACAACCTGCAGGTCAGCCAAGAGATTTCCTGATATTGCTGAGAGCTCCAAGCTGTGTTTCCAGAATTCTCATCCTGGGTTTGGATCAATGTCCAGAGGGGCTGGGAACACAAAGCCTGAGAGGAGCCCCTGAGGGAGCTGGGGGTGCTCAGCCTGCAGCAAAGGAGACTCAGGGCTGCCCCCATCGCTCTCTGCAGCTCCTGAAAGGTGCCTGGGCTCAGCTGCCCTTGGGCTCTTTCTCCAGCAGCACTGACACAGCCAGAGCACACAGCCTCCAGCTGTGCCAAGGGAAATCCAGGCTGGAGAGCAGCAAAAAGCTTTTCCAGCAAGGGGATAAAGTTCTGCAATGGCTGCCCGGGGAGGTGGTGCAGTCCCCAGCCCTGGGTGTGTTTGACAAGCCTGGATGTGGCACTGGGGGCCAGGGGCTGCCTGAGGGGTTGGGCTGGGCTGGGCTCTTGAGGGTCTCTCCCAGCCAAGGGATTCTGTGAACAGGTCTGGCTCTCCCAGGCTTTGTTTCCAAAATCTTTGGGCCAATCCCATTTGAAAGGATTTTACACCACTAAAACTGAGTGATCCTTGGGTTGGAGCATAAAGGAAAATAAGAGGAATTCTGGAGAATGAAAACCACAGAGCTGGGAAGATCACCTGGCCCAAAGTCCTGTGGGAAAAGGACCTGGCATGAGGCTGTTGGGCACCTTGAGCAGCCACATCCTGAAACCCTGCAGGGACTCCAGCACATCCCAGACAATGCTGGTCCCAGACAATGCTGCTTGTCACTGGAAAATGTCATTTTTCCATTGGGATGAAGCTTCCCAGCACACCCTGTCCCACTGCTCCTTGTCCTGTCCATGGCAAGGGAGACCCTCCATCCTCTTCATATCCATCCTTTAGGGCCTGGGGAACCCCAGGGAGGTTCCATGTAAGAAAACAAACCTGGGGACCCTGGAAGAGAACTTGGAGCCCAGGAACAAATCAGGTTGGAGGAAATGGAATGAGGGGGAAAATTCCTCTCTCAGTGGTTATGTAAGGGCTGCTGCTGGAGCTCTATAAATAGGACCTCACAGGTGGCAAACTCCAAAAATCCAGGGTTTTTTTGGGGTGGGTTTAGGCTGCTTTGGGTGGCCAGGTGAGCTGGGGAGCTGCAGGGAGGGACAGGATCCGTGCAGGATCAGGAGGGTGCAATTCCCAATGCTCCCAACCCAGCAAGGGGAGAGCAGCAGGGCCTGTGGTGCCAAAAAAGGCATTTCCAGGCAAGGAGGGAGATGGGGCTGAGCATTTGCCCAAAAATAGAAGGTGTGGAGCCACTCAGCAAATTCCCAGTGCTGCTGGAAGAGCCTGGAAGGCTGAGCCAGAGCGTGGAATGAGGGAAATGGATTTGTAGGGAAAAGAGAGGGCAGGTTTCAGGGATGGGAAGGTGGATGGAAAGGCCATTCCCAGCTGCTGCTGCTGCTGCTGCCACCCCTGAGGGGCTTCTTGTTCCACATGTGAGTGGCAGCAAAGGGTTCCTGGCCCTGGGATGTGCAGCTCCAGGTCAGGAGGAGGGATAAGGGAAAATGGGATATTCCATGGCAGCTGGGAGTGTCACAGGGCCAGGAGTGCCCCACAGCCCTCCCAGTGCTGCAGAGCTTCCCAATCCTGTGATCCCGGGGTAACCTCAGCCTCCCCCTGGAATGTTTGGGGGTTTTGGGGTGACAGAGATCCAGCAATGATGGAATAACCCTTCAGCATCCAGCCTTGCAGGAGAGAGCTGGAATTGTCCCAGGGAAAATTTCCCACTTTTCCCAGGGACCAGGACTAAGCTGATGTCACAGCCCAGGCAGGATGTCCCCTGCCAGGATTGTGGGGATGTCCCAAAAACCCCGATACAGTGGGGGAGATGTCCCAAAAACCCCAATAGACCGGGACTGTAGAGTGGGGGGATCCCAGGGGTCACCCCAAGCTAATCCAGGGTGGCTGAAATGGGGCTGATCCCTGTGGGGTACCCCTATCCCCACACCCATGGGGGCATCCAGGCACCTCCCAGCACCTGGGGGACGCTGGGATGGGGAACCCTACACTGGGTTGTAGGAGAGAGTGACCCCAAATCCATTTATAAAAGGATAACTGCCCCCCACCCCTGATTCCAGGCTCCATACCCCCGGATCATTGGGATGGGAACAGCCCAGCTCCCCTCACGCCATTCCCGGCTATGGGGGACAGGGTGACCCCATTATTCCCGGTCTGCTGGGGCACCCCAGCTGCCCCCGGGAATGTCCCAGAGGCAGGGACAGTTGTCCCCTCGGTGTCCCTGTCTCCTCATGGCCTTGGGGACACGCGCGTCCCAGCCTGGGACAGCGGGACCGTGTGGCTGGGGTCAGCAGCCCTCTCCGGGGTTGGGGGTGCCCCATTAAGGACCCCCCAGGAATGGGGGTGCCCCGCTCCCGAGCACCGTGGGAAGGGGTAATTCTGATCACAGACTGCTTGAAGAATGGGTCTGTCCCAGCCCTGATGCTCTGGGATGGGGGTGCTCGGTCCAGGACCCCTCAGGACCTTGGGCACGGCGGTGTCCCGGTCCCTGACCCCCAGAGACGGGGATGCCCCGACCCCGACCCCCTCAGGACCTTACAAACGGGGCTGTCCCGGTCGCGGTCCCCTGAGATGGGGATGCTGCGCTCTCAGACCCCTCGGGGTGGGGGCTGCCCCGCTCCCGAACCCCTTCTGGGCCTTGGGCTCGGGGTCATCCCCGGCACCGGCCGCCACTCACCCGCCGCTCGCGGCCTGCCCGGCAGCTGCACGAAGCGGTTCAGGATCCCTCCCCCGCCGCCATCGCCGCCTCCCGCGGCGCCGCCCGCGCCCTCCCCGAGCCCGTCCCGGGCCGCGGCCGCCGCCGACATGGCCCGTCCGCTGCCTGAGGGACGGAGCACCAACCGCCAATCAGCGCCGAGCTTCTTCGGCCGGAACCTATCAGCTGCGGGCTTGTTGGCAGGTGGGGGGAGGCTGCGGCTAGAGCACCGCTGTTGGGAGAGCTGAGCGATCGATCCAGGCTAGAGCAATAGAACGCCGAGAGCGGGGGCGCGGGGACATTCCCGCGTACACCCACGGGGACATTTGCGGCGACTTTCGCGGGGTCGCCGACGCCTCCCGAGCCCTCGGCGAGGTTCCGGAGGCCTCGCGGGCCTTGCACGAGGCCATGAGCGACCTCCGCGGCGCGGGCGGAACGATTGTCCGCGAGCGGAACGTTCGTGCGGGGCCCGCGTTTCCCGGGCCGTGACAGGAGGGAGGGACCAAAATGGCGGCGCCCAGCGCCGGGGGAGCGGCGGCGGCGGCGGCCGGGGGGAACCGAGGGCGGCCGCCCCCCGTCACCCCCCGGCAGATCCGCGACCTCATCGACGGCGGCATCGCCAGCGAGGGGCCCGGGCCCGGCGGGTGAGGGCCAGCGGCACCGGGACTCGCCGGCACCGGGCGGGAGTCGGGGGGAGGCCCGGCCGTGTGAGGGGAGGGGAGCGCTGGGGACTCGTGAGGGAATCGGGGACCCCTCGGGGTTATTTGGGGTCCTGAGGGGGAGTTGTAGTCGGAGGGAGCGAGGCTGGAGGGGACTGCGAGGTGCTGGGAATTGTTACTGGGGAGGGAGAGCGGGAAAGGAAAGCGCGGGAATGCACTGGGAATGCTGGAGAGACTCAGGGGCACTGGGAGGGACCACTGGTGGAACTGGGAGGCGCTGGGAATACTGAAGGGACTCAGGGACACTGGGAATAGTGGAAGGACAAGAAGGCAGGAGTCGAAACAGGTACTGGGATACTGGGGGGCTACTGGGGGGATACTGGGGGCACTGGGAGGGTACTGAGGGTACTGGGAGGATGCTTGGGGTGCTGGGAGGGTATTGGGAGCACTGGGAGGGTAACTGGGGGCACTGGGAGGGTGCAGAGGGCACTGAGAGCGTAACTGGGGGCATTGGGAGGGCACTGGGAGGGTACTGAGGGTATTGGGGACACTGGGAGAGTACTGGGAGGATACTGAGGGCACTGGAAAGGTACTGGGGTTACTGGGAGGGTAACTGAGGGCACTGAGAGGGCACTGGGAGGGTACTGGGGACACTGGGGGGGCACTGGGAGGGTAACTGAGGGCACTGGGAGGGTACAGAGGGCACTGAGAGCGTAACTGGGGGCATTGGGAGGGCACTGGGGACACTGGGGGGGCACTGGGAGGGTAACTGAGGGCACTGGGGGGGTACTGAGGGCACTGGGGACACTGGGAGGGTACTGGGGGTACTGGGAGGGCACTGGGGACACTGGGAGGGCAGCCCAGGCCAGTGACCCATGGAGTCCCCATGGCCTGAAGTGGCCATGTCCTGGTCCCAGCTCGGTGGGGCACTGGGAGCCCCAGGCGTTACTGGGAGCACTGGGAGCAGTGGGGGCTGGGCTTTGGGGGTGTCTCAGGGGCTCCCTTGTCCCAGCCCTCTCTCTCTGAATTTTGGCAGAATTCAGGCACTGGGAGGAGGCCAAAGGCAGCCGTGGGGGTGACATTGCAGTTTTGGGGACATCCCAGACATCCCAGTGCTCAGTCTGCCCCTGCTGGGCTCACAGAACAAGGCCCTGTCCCCTCCTTGTCCCAAATCCCACTGGCCCAGCTGTCACTGGGGACACATTTGAGGCACCCTTGGAATTTTATTCATTGTTTTATTAGGAATTAATGAAAAGCTGGGAATGGGGAGCTCTGGAGAAAATCCTTGTCAGGACAGGCCTGAGGGGTGGGGGGTTGCAAAGTGCTCTGTGCTTTGTTTCTAATCCTATTCCTAAAATCCAGCAGCTTCCCAAAATCCTGCCTTTTCCTAAATCCAACCTTTTCCTAAAATCCAGCTTTTTCCTAAATCCAGCCTTTTCCTAAATTCAGCCTTTTCCTAAAATCCGGTCTGTCCCTAAAATCCAACCTTTTCCTAAATCCAACCTTTTCTAAATTCAGCCTTTTCATAAATCCAATTTTTTCCTAAATTCAGCCTTTTCATAAATCCAACCTTTACCTGAAATCTAGCATTTTCCCAAACCCAGCCTTTTCCAAAATCCAACTTTTTTTTTTTAAATCCAACCTTTTCCTGAATCCAGCCTTTTCCTAAAGTCCAGCCTTTTCCTAAAATCCGACCTTTTCCAAAATTCAGCCTTTTCCTAAAATCCAGTCTGTCCCTAAGATCCAGCCTTTTCCTAAATTCAATCTCTTCCTAAAACCCAATCTTTCCCAAATGCAGCCTGTTCTAAATTCAACCTTTTCCTAAATTCAACCTGTTCCTAAGGCCAGCCTTTTCCTAAATCCAGTCTGTCCCTAAAATCCAGCCTTGTTCAAAATCTAACCTTTTCCTAAATCCAGTCTATTCCTGAAATTCAGCCTTTTCCTAAAATCCAGCCTTTTCCTAAAATCCAGCCTTTTGCTAAACCAAACCTTTTCCTAAATCCAGTCTTTTCTTAAATCCAAACTTTTCCTAAAATCCAACCTTTTCCTAAAATCTAGGTATTTCCTGAAATCCAACCTTGTTCAAAATTCAGCCTTTTCCTCAAATCCAGCCTTTCCCAAAATCCAGCCTTTTCCTAAATCCAACCTTTTGCTGAAATCCAGCCTTTTCCTAAATCTAGCCTTTTTCTAAATCCAGCCTCCTCCTAAAACCCAACCTTTTCCTAAATCTAGCCTTTTTCTAAATCCAGCCTCCTCCTAAAACCCAACCTTTTCCCAAAATCCAGCCTTTTCCTAAAATACAGCCTTTTCCTAAAATCTAGGTATTTCCTAAAATCCAACCTTGTTCAAAATTCAGCCTTTTCCACAAATCCAGCCTTTCCCAAAATCCAGCCTTTTTCTAAAATCCAACCTTTTCCTAAATTCAGCCTTTTCCTGAAATCCAGCCTTATCCTAAAACCCAGCCTTTTCCTAAACCAAACCTTTCCTTAAACCCAGCCTTTTCCTTAAACCCAGCCTTTTCCTAAAACCCAGCCTTTTCCTAAAACCCAGCCTTTTCCTAAAACCCAGCCTTTTCCTAAATCCAGCCTTTTCCTAAATCCAACCTTTTCCTAAATCCAACCTTTTCCTAAATCCAACCTTTTCCTAAAATCTAACATTTTCCCAAAACCCAATCTCTCCCTAAAATCCAACCTGTTCCTAAATCCAACCTGTTCCTAAATCCAACCTTCTCCTAAACCCAACCTCTTCCTAACCCCAGCCTTTCCCTAACCCCAGCCTTTCCCAACTCCAGCCTGTTCCCAACTCCAGCCTGTTCCCAACTCCAGCCTGTTCCCAACTCCAGCCTTTCCCAACTCCAGCCTTTCCCAACCCCAGCCTGTTCCCAACTCCAGCCTGTTCCCAGCTCCAGCCTGTTCCCAAACCCAGCCTGTTCCCAGCTCCAGCCTGTTCCCAACCCCAGCCTGTTCCCAGCTCCAGCCTGTTCCCAACTCCAGCCTGTTCCCAACTCCAGCCTGTTCCCAACTCCAGCCTGTTCCCAGCTCCAGCCTGTTCCCAACTCCAGCCTGTTCCCAACTCCAGCCTTTCCCAACCCCAGCCTGTTCCCAGCTCCAGCCTGTTCCCAGTTCCAGCCTGGTTCCAGCTCCCCCTCTCCCCAGCCCCAGGCTGTTGCCATGTCCATCCTTCCCCAGAGTTTCCCTTGCTGCTTTTCCTTTCAGGAAGGACACGTCGGGCTGCTCGGAGCGAGCCAACGGACCCTCCCAGCTGGAGGCTCTTTCCCTGGAATCTGCCAGCAGGGAGGCCTATTTCAGCAGGGTGGAAACATTCACCATATCCTTTGGGATGCTGGAATTCCAGCTGGAATTGTGGGGGAAGAGCCAGAGGGGTCACTGAGGCCAATTCCCGCCCTTGCAGGGATATCCCAAAATTCCTCCCTGGCCCTGAGAGCTGTCCCAACGCTCCTGGAGCTTGGGAGCTGTGGCCATTCCCTGGGGAATGCTCAGTGCCCCAGCACCCTCTGGGGAAGAGCCTTTTCCTGAAATCCAGGCTCATCCTAAATCCAGCCTTTTCCTAAAATCCAGCCTTTTCCTAAAATCCAGCCTTTTCCTAAAATCCCAACTTTTCCTAAAATCCCAACTTTTCTTATATTCCAAGCTTTTCCTAAATGCAACTTCCTCCTAAAATCCAGCCTCTTCCTAAAATCCAATCTTTTCATTGAATCCAGCATTTTCCTAAAATCCAACCTTTTCCTAAATCCCACCTCTTAGAATCCAACCTTTTCCTAAAATCCCAACCTTTCCTATAATCCAACCTCCTCCTAAAATCCAGCCTTTTCCTATAATCCAAGCTTTTCCTAAATCCAGCCTTTTCCTATAATCCAAGCTTTTCTTAAATCCAGCCTTTTCCTGAAATCCAGCCTTTGCCTAAATCAAACCTTTTCCTGAATCCAGCCTTTTCCTAAATCCCACCTTTTCCTATAATCCAAGCTTTTCCCAAAATCTAACATTTTCCTAAAATCCAGCCTTTTCCTAAATCCCAGCTTTTCCTAAATCCAACCTTTTCCTAAATTCAGCTTCTTCCTAAAATCCAAGCTTTCCCCAAAATCCAGCCGTTTCCTAAATCCGACCTATAACCTTTTCCTATAACCCAAGCTTTTCCTAAAATCTAACATTTTCCTAAAATCCTGCCTTGTCCTAAACCCAACCTTTTCCTCAATCCAACCTTCTCCTAAACTCCACCTGGCACAGCTCCCTGCGTTCCTGCCCTGCTCCTTGTCCCTGTGCTTCCCCTCCTGAGGCAGCTGCAGCCCGCCCCGAGCTCTCCCTCTCTGGGAATGTGGGAATGTTTCCCCACAAACCCCGAGCTCTCCCTCTCTGGGAATGTTCCCCCACCTCTCAAACCCTGAGCTCTCCCTGGGAATGTTTCCCCACAAACCCCAGGCTCTCCCTCTCTGGGAATGTTCCCCCATCCCACAAACCCCAGGCTCTCCCTCTCTGGGAATGTTCCCCCACCTCTCAAACCCTGAGCTCTCCCTCCCTGGGAATGTTCCCCCACAAACCTCGAGCTCTCCCTCTCTGGGAATGTTCCCTCACCCCAAAAACCCTGAGCTCTCCCTCTCTGGGAATGTTCCCCCACCCCACAAACCCCAAGCTCTCCCTCCCTGGGAATGTTCCCTCTCAAACCCTGAGCTCTCCCTCTCTGGGAATGTTCCCCCACCTCACAAACCCTGAGCTCTCCCTGGGAATGTTTCCCCACAAACCCCGAGCTCTCCCTCTCTGGGAATGTTCCCTCACCCCACAAACCCCAGGCTCTCTCTCTCTGGGAATGTTCCCCCACAAACCTCGAGCTCTCCCTCTCTGGGAATGTTCCCCCACCTCACAAACCCCGAGCTCTCCCTCTCTGGGAATGTTTCTCCACAAACCCCAAGAAACCCCAAGCTCTGCCTCCTGGGAATGTTCCCCCATCCCACAAACCCCAGGCTCTCCCTCCCTGGGAATGTTCCCCCACCTCACAAACCCCGAGCTCTCCCTCTCTGGGAATGTTTCTCCACAAACCCCAAGCTCTGCCTCCTGGGAATGTTCCCCCACCCCACAAACCCCAGGCTCTCCCTGCCTGGGAACATTTCCCATCCCACAAATCCCAGGAATGCTGCTGCTGTCTCTCCTTGACGGGCAGACCCCTTGCGGTGGGCGGGGAAGCCGCCGGCGCTGTCCCCGCTGGTGTGCGCGCGTTTCGGCTGGGTCAGCGTGGAGTGTGACATGCTGAGGTGCTCCAGCTGCCAGGCCTACCTGTGCATGAGCCTGCAGCTCACCCTGGACCTCAGCAACTGTGAGTGGGGATGGCCCAGAGCTTGGGATTTTGGGATTGTGGGATTGTGGGATGGCGGGGCGCAGCGGCTTCCAGGGGCGGGGAGGTTGGGAAAGCGGCTCAAGGCCAATGGGTGGTGTTTTGTTGGGGGGATGGAATAATCAAATCCTGGTTTGTGTTGGGAATTCCAGCTGGAAGAGGTCGTGGGATTGTAGGGAGTTTGGGTTGGGAGGGGTCTTAAAGCTCCTCCTGTTCTGTGCTGCTGTCCAGGGAATGGTGGTTCCAGGGAATGGTGGTCCCAGGGAATGCTGGTTCCAAAGAATGATGAGAATTATGGTTCCAGGGAATGATTGTCCTAAGGAATGATGGTTTCAGGGAATGGTGGTTCCAAGGAGTGGTGGTCTCTGGGAATGATGGTTCTAAGGAATGGTGGTGTCCCAGGGAATGATGGTCCCAGGGAATGGTGGTTCTAAGGAGGGATGGTTCCAAGGAATGGTGGTCCCATGGAATGGTGGTTCCAAGGAATGATGGTTTCAGGGAATGGTGGTTCTAAGGAGGGATGGTTCCAAGGAATGGTGGTTCCAGGGAATGGTGGTTCCAAGGAATTATGGTTTCAGGGAGTGATTGTCCTAAGGAGTGATGGTCTCAGGGAATGGTGGTTCCAAGGAATGGTGGTCTCTGGGAATGATGATTCTAAGGAATTATGGTTTCAGGGAATGATGGTCCCAGGGAATGATGATCTCAGGGAGTGGTGGTTCCAAGGAATTATGTTTTATAATTCTAAGGAATTAGGTTTTCTGGGAATGATGGTCCCAGGGAATGATGGTTTCAGGGAATTATGAACCCAGGAAATGATGATTCCAAGGAATTATAGGTTCAGGGAATGATGATACCAAGGAATTATGGGTTCAGGGAATGATGGTGCCAGGAATGAGGTCCTAAGGAATGATGCCCCCAGGGAATGATATTCCTTAGGGATGGAGGTTTCAGGGAGTGATGGTTCCAAAGAATGATGGTCTCAGGGAATGATGATTCCAAGGAATTATGTTTTCTGGGAATGATGCTCCCAGGGAATGATATTCCTTAGGGATGGAGGTTTCAGGGAGTGATGGTTCCAAAGAATGATGGTCTCAGGGAATGCTGGTTCCAAGGAATGGTGGTCCCAGGGAATGATGATTCCAGGGAATGATGGTTTCAGGCAATGATAGTGGCAGGAATGATGATCTCAGGGAGTGATGGTTCCATGGCACAGTGGTTCCAGGGAATGATGAAATTCTCACTGTAAAAAATGTCTTTTTTATGCTGGGATAGACCCTCTCCCACACACCCTGTCCCACTGCTCCTTGTCCTGTGCATGGAAAGGAGACCCTCCATCCTCTTTGCACCCATCCTTTAAGGACTGGAAAACCCCAGTGAGGTTCCAGAGCTCAAATCAGACCCAAGGGAATGATCCAAAACCGTCTGGAACACTTGCAGGCTTGGGGCACTGATCACCTCTTGGACTGTTCCAGAGCTGGATCACCCTGGTACAGAAATGGTTCCTCCTGTTGAGCCTGAGCCTGCCCTGGTGCAGCTCTGAGCCATTCCCATGCTGGAATTCCATGCCAGTCCTGCCACAGGATTCCAGGGACAAGAGCTCAGCATTCCCTCCCCCAGAAGGTGCAGAGTTCACCCCTCATCCTCCTTTTCTCCAAACAATCCCAAGGCTCTCAGCCTCTTTCCAGGTTTTCCAGCCATTTCTCCAGCCTCATTGCCCTCTGGATGCATTTAAGGCTCTGAAAATCCTTTTAAAATTTCTCTTTTCTTTCCCAGTTCCTGGATCTGCTTCCCTGATCCTCCACTGAATTTTTCCGGCATGGAAAAATTGATTGGTGGTTGCTGCTCACCAAAGCCATTCAGGCAGAAATTCCATTGTGAGATTTAATTAATGAACTCCTTATTATCCCACAAGGCAGTGCCATCCCCACTTCTCAATTCTCCTGGCTGCAGTTGCCCTGGAAGTGGACAGGGAGCACATTCCTGCTGCCTGCCAGGTGCTGCCATGTGGGAATACTGAGCCTTTCCTTTTGGGTCACTCAAGATCAACATTCCCTATTTATTCAGATTATCTCTGTTAAATAAACCTTGGCCTAATTATTCCATTGGAAATCACACCAGGTTAGGGAAATCCAAACTAATCAAAGATTGGGAAGGAGGCATTGAAAAACAAAGTGAAAAAGAATTTTTTTTTTTTTTTATTCTGAAAGTGTAAGTGAAATTAAATGTCAGAATTTTTTGGGGGGGTTTTTGGGGAAGTTTGATTTCCAGACATGGCTGGGATTTGGCTCCTACAGTTGGGGTGGAGGGATCAGCTCAGCCAGGGGTTGGCAGCATCCCAGGAGGAGAAACTGGCAGGATCCAGCAGGTTTTGTGCCCAGGGCTGGCTTGGGCTGCTTTTCCACAGGCTCCCCTGTGCCTGGGGATGGGAATGGGAGGGATTTTGGCTTTGGGCAGGTGGAACTGCTGAGGTGACATTTGCTGTTCTGGGGCTGCCTGAGGGAGCCTGGAATTCCTCTTGCTGGGAACAGGGGCGAGTCTGAGGTTGGAATCCTGGATGCTGAGAGTTTTAAACTTACTGTGCTGAGAGAGTTTAGAATTCTCAGGGTTCTGAACACAGAGTTTAGAATTCTCAGCATCCAGTAGTGGTTATATTAGGTGCTAATATTTAAATTTGAGTACTTATTGCTTTGACTACAGTATTTAAAAAAACTTATTTTTTTTAATTAGGACACTTTTTTGTTTTTGAGAATACATAATTTTAAAATTATTATTAAAATTATATGAACAGTCTGAGGTGAAGCTTCAGGCCGTGCAGCCTCCAGCCTCGGGCAGCATCCTGGGAAATCCTGGGAAAGCATCCCAGGGAACTCTGCCACCAGCTGGCCTGGTTTTCCTGGCCATTCCCTGAGCAGGTGGCAGTGCAGGGGAATATCCCTGAGTTTCTCCCTGCAGACAAGGAGCGCTGTGAAGAGCTCAGGAAGGCCCTGAGCACTGCCCACGAGAAGTTCTGCTTCTGGCCAGACAGCCCCTGCCCAGGTGGGTGCTTCAGATTCCTGCATTATTCCCATTTTTTCCCCCCCTTTCCGTTGTTGTTCCTGCCATCACACTCTGCTCTTCCCTGTGGGAATGATGGAATACAACAGGAAAGCAGCATCCCCGAGCAGCCTTGGAAGCCCCAGGGCTGGATCCAGCTTTTCCTGACCTTTTGGTGCCTCTGGAGCACTTAAATTGCTTTGGGGCTGTGCCTGGGAGGGGAAGTTTGGTGTCGTGGAATGCTCAGAGAGGGATAGATCCTGTCCTGGGAGCTGTGCTGCTTGGGAATGCTGAGAAGGGAAAACTGTGCTGAGCTTTTCCTTTAAAAGCCAGGAAAATAATCATGGAATTGTTGGGATTGGAAGGGACATGAAAGCCCTTCCAGTGCCACTCCAGGGACAGCTCCCCCTGTCCCAGGCTGCTCCAGCCCCAGGGTCCAACCTTGGGCATTGCAGGGATCAGGGGCAGCCCCAGCTGCTCTGGGAATCCCTTCCCAAAATCCCAGCCCAGTCTCCCTCTCCAGGGAATTCCCTCCATTCCCAGCTCTCCCAGCCTGGGATTGGATCCATCCCCACCCCGACTCCTCTCTAGGAAGGGATTTTGGGATCCGGGGGCTCCACTGGGAATCTCAGGACTCCAGGAAGGGTCTCCCTTCCCTTTTCCATCCCCAACTTCCATAAAAATCCCTCGGGATGGATTCTGAGTGTCCCAAATCCCAGAATCCCAGAGCAGTTTGGGTGGGAAGAGACCTTCAATCCCATCCCATTGCAATCCCACCATCCCAGGGTGCTCCAATCCTTCCTTGGGCATTGCAGGGATGCAGGGGCAGCCCCAGCTGCTCTGGCAATCCCAGCCCAGCCAGGAATTCCTCATTGCCAAGATCCCACCTAAACTTTTCCTCCTTCAGCTTAAGGTCACTCCCTCTTACCCCATCACTGCATTTACCTGGAGAGCCTGGCTGGGCTCCTGCCATTCCCTGTGGGATGAGGAGGGCTGGGGATGCTGAGCACAGCTTTGCCCTCCCCAGATCGCTTTGCCAGGCTCCTGGTGGATGAGCCCAGAGTTCTTCTCCAGGATTTCCTGGATCGCTTCCAGAGCCTGTGTCAGCTGGAGCTGCAGCTGCCCTCCCTCAGACCAGAAGACCTGAAGAACATGGTGAGTTCCCTCCTGCTCCCAAAATCTGCAGCATTCCAGGCTCCAGGGACGAGCCTGGGCCCACCCAAAATCAGGAATTTCAGCCTCTGTGTGTGTGTGTGTGTGTGTGTGAGGGATCTGCTCCCACTTTGTTTTTCCCCTTGGACATGCCCCATGTGGTGGTTCCACCATGGAAACGTGTAAAGAGGAGTTTGGAATGGCTCATCAGCTGGGAAGTGTGTCTGGTTCCCAGCCTGGACCTTTCCCAGTGTCCAGGCTGCTCTGTGGTGCCTGGGAGAGGGGATTTGGGATCCCACAGACTCCTTTGGGAGCTCCAGCACTCCATGAGGAGGGGCAGCCCACAGATCATTCCTTCAGCTGGGATGTCTGGAGACAGGAATTTGGGATGCCAGGGGCTGCCACCCTGAACCTCAGGGATGGGCAGAGACCTGGGAAGGTGAAGGAGCCCGAGGAGGCTCCACAGGCAGGAGGGAAAAGCAGGAAAAGCCAGGAACAAGTGTGGAATTGTCACCCTGCAGGGACCTGTGGTGGCCCTGCTCTGCTGCAGCCAAGTCTGGCTGGTTGGACACTCCTTTGCCAGGGAACAGATGGCTCTGGGCAGCCAGGAGCTGTGTGGGATCCAGGGAATCTTCATCCATTCAGCACAGCCCAGGGGTGGTTCAGGGCTGGCTGAGCTGGGAAAGCACCAAAGGCACGGCAGGAGTGGGACCTGCTCCTCCTCAGGGAGCAGCTGGGGCCTGGGCACATTGCATGGAGTGGGGAGCCAGGGGCAGGGAGCAGTGCTCTGAGTGCCTTAATGAATGAATTTATTATCCCACAAGGCAGTGCCATCCCCACTTCTCAATTCTCCTGGCTGCAATCGCCCTGGGAGTGAACAGGGGGCACATTCCTGCTGCCATGTGGGAATACTGAGCCTTTCCTTTTGGGTCACTCAAGATCAGCATTCCCAAGGATCCCACGAGGATCCCACAAGGATTCCACAACCCAGGGGTGCTTTAGGGCTGGCTGAGCTCAGCAAGGCACAGCAGGAGTGGGACCTGCTCCTCCTCAGGGAGCAGCTGGGGCCTGGGCACATGGAATGGGGAGCCAGGGGCAGGGAGCAGTGCTCTGAGTGCCTTTTCCCTGTCCCCAGAGCTGGGGGTACAAAAGGGCTCGTTCTCCATGTGGGACAGGATTTGGGAGTGAAACCAGTGCCTTTTATGCCTGTGCTCTGCAGTCCCTGACAGAGGAAAGGATCACTCGGCTCCTCCAGCTCATTGGGGAGGAGCTGGAGCACAAAGGCACAGAGGGAGAGAAGCCTCCCGGGAAGTTTTCCACGGAAATCCTGCAGGTGCACGTTCCTGCCTGCATCCTGGCGCTGTGTGGCTGGACCTGCAGGTGGGCAGGGCTGCAGGGCTGGGCCTGGGCTGTCCCTCACACTCTGGGCTGGCCACGAAAGCTCTTGGGGGCTGGAGGGATGGGGAATGTTCCTCCTGTGGAATGCTCACTGTCCCTTTTTTCACTGTTTTCCCTCTTTTTCACCGTGCTTCTGCCTACCTGATTGTATTTTCCCATTTTCCCTTTTTTTTTTTTTGCTTCCTTTGTGTCACTATTTTCCTTATTTTCCCTCTTTTTTCACTAGGATCCTGCTTCCCTTATTTAACCATTTCCCCACTTTTCCACTACATTCCTGCTTCCCTTATTTCACCCCTTTTTTCCCCTCTTTTCCCCTTCTGTTCCTGCTTCCTGGCAAGGCAAAACACAACTGGGCCAGTTTCAATCAACGTCATAAATGGGATTTAATGGACTCATTTCCCTGACTTTTCCAAGCCCAGGCTTATCCCTGAGCACCTCTCCTGCCTTTCCCCAACCCTGGAAGTGCCCAAGGCCGGGTTGGATGGGGCTTGGAGCAGCCTGGGGTAGTGGGAGGTGTCCCTGCCCATGAGGGGTTGGAATGAGATGAGCTTTAAGATCCCTTTCAACCCATCCTGTGATCCCATGAGGATCCCATGAGGATCCCACAAGGATCTCATGAAGATTTCATGAGGATCCCATGTGGGTCCCATGAGGATTCCATGTGGGTCCCATGAGGATTCCATGAGGATTCCCGTGAGGATCCCATGAGGATCCCATGAGAGTTCTGTGAGGATCCCATGAGGATCCCATGAGGATTCCTTGATGATCCCATGAGGACCCCATGAGGATCCCATGAGAACCCTATGAGAGTTCCATGAGGACCCTATGAGAGTTCCATGAGGACCGTATGAGGATCCCACAAGGATTCCCATGAGGATCCCATGAGGAATCCCATAAGGATCCCATGAGGATTCCCAGGAGGATCCCATGAGGATCCTACAAGGGTTTCATGAGGATCCTTTGAGGATGCCATGAAGATCCCATGAGGATTCCATGAGGGTTCCATGAGGATTTCATGAAGATTTCATGAGGATCCCATGAGGATCCCACGAGGATTCCTTGATGATCCCATGAGGACCCTATGAGGATCCCATGAGGATCCTATGAGTGTTCCATGAGGACCCTATGAGGATCCCATGAGGATTCCCATGAGGATTCCCATGAGGATTCTATGAGGATCCCATGAGGATCCCATGAGAGTCCTGTGAGGATCATGTGAGGATCCCAGGAGGATCCCACAAGGATTCCTTGATGATCCCATGAGGATCCCATGAGGGATCCCATGAGGATCCCACAAGGATTCCCATGAGGATTCCACAAGGATCCCATGAGGATCCTATGAGGGTTCCATGAGGATCCCGTAAGGATCCTGTGAGGATCCTGTGAGGATCCCGTGAGGATCCCATGAGGATTCCACAAGGATCCCGTGAGGATTCCACAAGGATCCCGTCAGGATTCCACAAGGATCCTGTGAGGATCCCCTGACTTGGCTCTGTCCCTGCAGCGCTGCCTCGGGCTCCATGAACCTCTCGGTGATCACCTGCTCCCGCTGCATGAGGAAGGTGGGGCTGTGGGGCTTCCACCAGCTGGAATCTGCTGCAGCTCCAGAGCTGGATTCCTGTGGCTCCAGCAGCACCACCCCGGCTGCTCCCGAGCGCTTCCCGCCCGTGCCCACCTCCCCTCGCAGGATGCTGACACGGAGCCAGGACCCAGCATCCGAGCAGGTACATCCTGGGGCTCTGGGCAGGGACACCTGGCAGCTCCGCGAGCTCCAGATCCCTCACCCACATCCAAGGGACATCCCTCATCCCTCTCTGGGCAGGGACACCTGGCGGCTCCAGGAGCTCCAGATCCCTCACCCACATCCAAGGGACATCCCTCATCCCTCTCTGGGCAGGGCAGGGACACCTGGCCAGCTCCAGATCCCTCACCCACATCCAAGGGACATCCCTCATCCCTCTCTGGGCAGGGCAGGGACACTTGGCCAGCTCCAGGTGCTCCAGATCCCTCATCCACATCCTATGGACATCCCTCATCCCTCTCTGGGCAGGGACACCTGGCAGCTCCAGGAGCTCCAGATCCCTCACCCACATCCAAGGGATACATCCGTGGTGGGAAGGGCTCCTGTGGGGTTCCTGAGGAGGGCTGGAGCTGGACAAGGCCCCCTTGGTGAGCAGAGGAGCTCCAGATCCCTCATCCACATCCTATGGACATCCCTCATCCCTCTCTGGGCAGGGCAGGGACACTTGGCCAGCTCCAGGAGCTCCAGATCCCTCACCCACATCCAAGGGACACATCCATGTGGTAGGAAGGGCTCCTGTGGGGTCCCTGAGGAGGATTGGAGCTGGACAAGGCCCCCTTGGTGAGCAGAGGAGCTCCAAATCCCTCACCCACATCCAATGGGCATCCCTCATCCCTCTCTGGGTGGGGCAGGGACACTTGGCCAGCTCCAGGTGCTCCAGATCCCTCATCCATGTCCTATGGACATCCCTCATCCCTCTCTGGGCAGGGACACCTGGCAGCTCCAGGAGCTCCAGATCCCTCACCCACATCCAAGGGACACATCCGTGTGGTGGGAAGGGCTCCTGTGGGGGGCTGAGGAGGGTTGGAGCTGGAAAAGGCCCCTTGGTGAGCAGAGGAGCTCCAGATCCCTCATCCACATGTGTCCAATGGACATCCCTCTCTGGGCAGGGCAGGGACACTTGGCCAGCTCCAGGAGCTCCAGATCCCTCACCCACACCCAGTGGACACATCCGTGGTGGGAAGGGCTCCTGTGGGGTTCCTGAGGAGGGCTGGAGGGACAAGGCCCCCTTGGTGAGCAGAGGAGCTCCAAATCCCTCACCCACATCCAATGGGCATCCCTCATCCCTCTCTGGGTGGGGCAGGGACACTTGGCCAGCTCCAGGTGCTCCAGATCCCTCATCCATGTCCTATGGACATCCCTCATCCCTCTCTGGGCAGGGACACTTGGTCAGCTCCAGGAGCTCCAGATCCCTCACCCACATCCAAGGGATACATCCGTGGTGGGAAGGGCTCCTGTGGGGTTCCTGAGGAGGGCTGGAGCTGGACAAGGTGAGCAGAGGAGCTCCATGGTGCCGTTTTCCCCCAGCAGCACGAGAAGAGCCCGTCCCCAGCCCTGGCCCGGCCCCGGGGCTGGGACTCCCCCAGCTCCATGGACAGGGGGGAGCTGGATGTGAGCAGCCCTGCCCTGAGGAGCCGCCCCGTGACCCGGAGCATGGGGCAGGGGGACACCATGGAGGTGCCGTCCAGCCCCGTGCGCAGGGCCAAGCGCGCGCGGCTCTGCTCCTCCAGCAGCTCGGTGAGTGACCCTGCCAGGGAGCTGCCCCCATCCAGGGATTTGGGGTGCCAGCCCCTGCTCAGGGCTTTGGGCACAGAGAGGGTTTCTTGGTGTCTCTAAGCACGCCGGTGTTGTGTCCCTTCTCTGCCACCACCTCGCTTCCCAGGACGCTTCCTTGAGGAGCTTCTTTCACCCCGGCTCTCAGCACCGTGATTGGTGTCCCTGGGTCAGCACTGGGGAGGGACAGGAATCCCTGGAGGACGCTGCATCCCAGACAGACAGGGAGCCTGGGAAGGCCGAGCCAGGCTGGGAGGTGGTGCTGAAGAGGCTCCTTGGCATCCAGAAATGTGACACAGTGCCCGAAACGGAGCCAGTGGTGAGTCTGGGGTATCCCAACTTGTCCAGGCAGCAAAAATTTGGGATGGGTGGGCTTTGGGTGGGATCAATCCCAGCCAGGTGACAAGGACCAAGCTGCAGAGCGTGAGCCCTGGCATTCCCACAGGCAGGCTCCATCCAAGGCTGGGCTGTGCTGGAGCTGCCCCAGGGCTGCTATAAATAACAGTGCTGCCCAAGATCTGGTTTCATTCCCCAGAGTGTCCCCAGAGCTCCTCTCTGCAGCCATCCCAGCTCCTGGCTCCAGGCTCCTGGGGTGCCAGCTTTGCTGAGGCCACAACTCCCTCCCCATGTGGCTGTGGAGCAGCTGCTGCCTCCCTGGATCTCTTGATCCACTTGGATTCCTCCTGCCAGCTCCTTCCTGCCTCTCTTGGAGCTCAGGTGGAGCATTCCCCCTTCAGCATTTGTCCTGGCACTTTCATGGGACCCCAACAGGTCCTTTCTAGGGGTGGCCCTGCCCACAGCAGGGGGTTAAAACTGGTTCATCTTTAGGGTCCCTTCCAACCCCAACCATTCCATGATTCTGTGGTTCTGCCATGTGCCAGGAAAGCTCCAGATAGTCCAGCAGGGCCAGTCACAGTCAGAGGCACCAGACCCAGCTGGAACAGGGGATGGTTGGAGTCTCTTCCTGCTTTTTGGGCTCCTTTCCTGCTTTTTGGGGTCCTTTCCTGCTTTTTGGGGTCCCTTCCTCCATTTTGGCATCCTTTCCTGCTTTTTGGGATAATTTCCTGCTTTTTGGAGTCCTTTCCTGCTTTTTTGGTTCCCTTTCTGCCTTTTGGGCTCCTTTCATGCCTTTTGGGATCCTTTCCTGTTTTCTGGAAAACTTTCTGCTTTTTGGGGTCCCTTCCTGCTTTTTGGGGTCCCTTCCTGCTTTTCGGGGTCCCTTCCTGCTTTTTGGAGTCCCTTTCCTGCTTTTTGGGTACCCTTCCTGCTTTTTGGGGTCCTTTTCTGCTTTTGGGCTCCTTTCATGCCTTTTGGGGTCCTTTCCTGTTTTATGGAGTCCATTCCTGCTTTTTGGGATCCTTTCCTGCTTTTTGGAATCCTTTCCTGCTTTTTGGAGCCCCTTCCTACTTTTTGGGTTCCTTTCTTGCTTTTTGGATTCCCTTTCTGCTTTTTGGGGTCCCTTCCTGCCTTTTTGGAGCCCCTTCTTGCTTTTTAGGTTCCCTTCCTGTCTTTTGGGGTTCCATTCCTTCTTTTTGGGGTCCCTTCCTGCTTTATGGAGTCCTTTCCTGCTTTTTGGAGTCCTTTCCTGTTTTTTGGGGTCCTTTTCTGTTTTATGGAGTCCCTTCCTGTTTTATGGAGTCCCTTCCTGCTTTTTGGGGTCCCTTCATATTTTTTGGGTTCCATTCCTGCCTTTTGGGGTCCTTTCCTACTTTATGGAGCCCCTTCCTGCTTTTTTGGGGTCCCTCTCTGCTTTTTGGGGTCCCTCTCTGCCTTTTGGGGTCCCTTTCTGCTTTTTGGGTTCCATTCCAGCTTCTTGCTCGTAGTCCCCTTGTTCTCCTCTCTGCTGGCAAATTAGGATCATGAAGATGAGGAGCCAAGTGCTGTCCTGGCAGCCAGCTGGGATAGTTTGGGTGGTTTTTGCTGCAGTTTCCCCTCATGCCCTTTGCCAATGGCAGCTCCTGCTCCAGTGCCTTGACCCGTGGCTGTTGTTGCTCTGTTCCCATCTTTTCCAGAGCCTCTCGGAGAAGTCCTGCAAGGTGTTCCGCATTTTCCGCCAGTGGGAGAGCATGAATTCCTCCTGAGCCCTGGGGACACGCCCACAGGGGACACACCCACAGGGGACACACCCACAGGGGGACACACCCACAGGGGACACACCCACAGGGGACACACCCACAGGGGGACACACCCACAGGGGACACAGCCACAGCTCTGGGGGCTCCTGGGCAGCTCCGTGTCCCCCAGGCAGCTCCAGCCACGCTGGGATCCCCTCCCTGCCTGCCCTGCTGGAGCCATCACAAACCTCTGCTGTGTCTGTCCCTCCCTCGCTGTGAGGGCTGCCTGGAGCTGGGATGTGCTGTGGGCCCGTGGGGTGACAAGGGGACATTGTCACCTCCCCAGGAAGTGATGCCAGGTGGGAATAAACATTTCATTTTTGTTGTTTTTTTTCTTTTTTCTTCCTGCTGGCGTGGTGCTTTTTCCCAGGGCAGGAGGAGGTCAGGACCTGGCTCCTGTGTCCCTCAGGATTCTTGTCCTTCTGGGATCAACATCCCACTGCCTCCCTGTGCATCCCACCCCACATTTTGTTTTTCCATTGCCTCAATCCCTGTCCCTGTGCTGATGGCCAGTTTGGGGTGATGAATCCCTCTGGTCGGAGGGTGGGATTCCCAAAACCTGGGAAGAAATGAGTTTGGGCTGCTGGGAGGGGAATGGTGTCATCTCCATCCTTGAGGTTATTGGGGAAAGGGCTTTGGGAAGGGCTGGGATTCCACAGACAACCTGGCACAGTTGGATCTCTCCTCCCTCCAGGTCTGTGCTGTGGGTGGAGGCACAGGGATCTGTCATTCCTTTTGGGTTTTTTTTTGAGGAAAGGATCTCCTGCCTCCATTTTCCCAGCCCCATCTCTGAGGTTTCACCTGTCTCATGGCCTTGGATGGATTTTGGGATTTGGCTGCCCTGTGCTTGGGAATGCAGTGGCTGCCTTGGTCAGGGCTGATCCCTGAACCCCAAAGCTTGGGGGTGCACCTGTGCCCCCACCTGGGGGCTTCTCCTGGCATCCACCGTTTTGGGATCCCATGGGAAGCAGCAGGGTCTGAATTTGGGTGGGTTCCCTTCCTTTCCCTAATTAGGGGCCCTAATGAGGGGCTGCTGCACCCATGGCCCTGCTGGGCTGGGAGTTGGGGTGGAAATGGGGATACCCCAAATCCAGAGGGACAAGGATGGGCAGGGAAGTGCCTGGGATGGGCAGGGAAGAGCCCCTTTTCCAGCTGCCTGGACCTACAGATCCCCCAACTGCCCCCCAAGCTTTCCCCATTCCTTAGATCTCCCTGGAACTCTGCTTTCCCCGTTTCCAATGGTTTCCAGCAGTTCCCTTTGGCTCCCTGTATTCCCTACATTCCCTATCCATGGATTCTCCTGGCTCCCCCTCATCTCTGATCAGGGAACCACCCCACAAATCATGGGATGCACCCAGTCCAGGGAGGATGATATTCCCATGCCAGGGTGGGAAAGCCCAGCCACAACCCCTCCATCCTCATTTCCAGACTGAGGAGCGCTCAGAGGATCCCCAAAATTCCCTCAGGAATTTTCCCAAACCATTCCAAGGTTTGGGTGCTGTAAGAGTGGCCTTGAGGTGTTCCAAAAAGGAGCAGGGTGCTGCTGTAGTCCCTGACATCCTGGAATAATCCCTGGTGTTTCAAAGCTGCTGTTTCACAGATGGAATAGAAACATTCTAAGAAATGATGGTAAAATCCTTGTTTTTTTCCTTGTGGTCTGGGAAATACAGGATCCTTTATCCCAAGTTTTCCAGCTGCTCTGCTCAAACAGAACCCTGTTCCCCTGCCAAATTCCCCCCTGGAATGTGGGGTGTGGATTTGAGTCCCCCCCCCCAGGTGGTGTCACCTCCTGCCCCTGCCAAACTCGGGGCATGTTGGGGCATTAAATGGAGGAGCTTTTTTGGGATTCTCTGGCTGTGTCTCCTCCCCACAGGGGGAGGAAGCACCGGGGCAGATTTATGGGATGATGCTGGAGTCAGGAATGTGGGGTGGGGAGGTTCCACACCATCAGGAATCCCAGCAGTTCAGGAGACACCCATTGGTGCTGTCATCATCCGGCTGGGGAAACTGAGGCACAGGGAAATGCTCTGGTGATGTCCCAGCGGAAATCCGGAGTGATGACTCCTGCTGTGGGGCCTGGCCAGCTGCCACATTCCTGCCTGGATTGAATGGGATTGCCGTGGGTAAACCCATATTCTGGGTGGGCAAACCCCAGATTCTGGATGGGCAAACCCCATATTCTGTACGGGCAAACCCCATATTCTGTACAGGCAAACTCCATATTCTGTACAGGCAAACCCCATATTCTGTACAGGCAAACCCCAGATTCTGGATGGGCAAACCCCATATTCTGTACGGGCAAACCCCATATTCTGTACGGGCAAACTCCATATTCTGTACAGGCAAACCCCATATTCTGTACAGGCAAACCCCATATTCTGGATAGGCAAACCCCATATGCTGGATGGGCAAACCCCATATTCTGGATAGGCAAACCCCATATTCTGGATGGGCAAACCCCATATTCTGGACGGGCAAACCCCATATGCTGTGTGGGCAAACCCCATATACTGGATGGCCAAACCAAACCCCATATTCTGTATAGGCAAACCCCATATTCTGTGGGGTGGTTCCCTGACCCCCTTGGGGAAAGGACAGGACAGGAAATAGAGGAATAAGGGGGTGTCAGAATCCATGGGGAACAAGGGAGATGCTGGGAACAGGGGGAGCCATGGGGAATTGTGAAAAACATTGGAAATGGGGGAGCCATGGGGAATTGCAAGGCCCTGACATAGGTCCACCCTGTATTTTATCAGGTGGCTCCCTGGCCATGGTGGGAACGGGCAAAATGGAAACGGGGGAATGAGAGGAGTGTCAGAATCCATGGGGAATACGAGGAGGACACGGGAAATACTGGGAGCCGTGGGGAATTCGGGAGACCTTGGAAAGGGAGGAACTGGAGCTTGCGGCCCCAGCGGGGCCTCGAACCCGCGGCCCATCCATCGTTCCACCCTCCCCGCTCAGAACTACAACTCCCGGCGTGCCTCGGGGCCGGCGGAGCGTTGAGGGCGCGGCCAATGGTAGCGCCGCGGGGCGGTGACGTCACCGCGGGTGACGTCAGGGGTCCAGAGAGAGGCTGGGGCAGAGGCGGCCGGAGCGGCTGAGGGAGCGCGAGCGGCGCGGGGGGGCCCTGTTGGCGACAGCGACGACAGCGGCGACAGCGGCGGCGACAGCGACAGCGGCGGGTCCCAGCGCCTCGCGGCCCGGCGTTACCCCGCTCCGCTCGGCGCCGGGCGGCCCCGGCCCGCGGCGGCGGCGGCGCTGACAGCCCGCCCGGAGCCCCGGGGGCGGCCGCGGCCACCATGTCGTCCCCCAGCCCGGGCAAGAGGCGGATGGACACCGACGTGGTCAAGCTGTATCCTTGTCGTGCCCCCCCCGGGCCCACGGGGGACGAGGATTGCCCTCCCCCCCAGGGCCGGGCCTGCAGAGGGGTGGGAGGGCGGGGGGCACCGGGGACCCCGCCGGGGTCGCCCCCCAAACCCCCCCCATTCGCACCCCCGCGGCCTCTGCCCGGAGCTGGGGGTCGGATCTGCCCTCCCCCCCCACCAGTGGAGGCCTAACCCCCCCTTCTGCCGTATTTTGGGGGTTTTCCCCCCCTGTGGCTTGAGAGGCGGCCCTGGGGGTGTCTCTGCAGACGCCCCTCGTGGTGCCCCCCCAATCTGGGTGCCCCGCACCCCCCCTTGCCTGCCCTGGGGCGGGCCAGGAGGGGGAGAGCAGTTCCAGCAGCCACAGCCCAAAGAAAGGCTTTTGTGGGGTTTATTATTATTATTTATTCCCCCATCTCACCCCGCAGTTCATGAAGCTTCTGGTGCCGGCTTAGGGATTTGATTTTTTGGGGAGGACGGGGGGGGGTCCCTCGGGGTCTGGCTCAGCAGACCCAGGGGTGGGTGAAGGGCATCAGGGCCCGAGCCCGTCTCCCAAGAGGTTTATGTAACCCTCCAGGTTTGGTTAGGCTTTATTACTTTTTATTTTTCCCCTTCTTCCTACATAGATCTGTTTATATTTTTCCTCCTTGTTTTTATTCCTGGCCCTTTACGGGGCGGTGAATCCCTTTTTTCTCTCTGTCTGGAGAGTGGGTGGCGTTGAAAAATACCATTGGGAATTCGGTTCTGGGATTGTTTTATTAATAGTTTTTGTTTACAAGGTGGCGGTGCGAGCCGGGAAAGGGTAGCAATGACAAGAGTGGATGAAATGTTTCTCGGATCTGTCTCCTGAACGTGCCCGACCTCCCTCAGCAGGACTCAGGGCTGGTGACTCTGCCCTGCTGCTCTCAGGGGTCGAGAAACGGGTCTGATTTAGTTCCCAGAGAGAGATAAACAAACTTATCTGGATTTGGTGGTGTTTTTTTGGAAAGGGGAGGGGGGGGAGAGGGAGGAGCAGCAGCAGCGCTCCTGTTTGTGGCTTATCGAAGGAAACTTGTCTGACGTTCTCGCAGCGCCTTTCTCCCCACAAAGCTGCTCTCGGTGTATTTTTCGCCCTGTTTTGAAGCAAATAGGAAATGAGTCCTGATGGTGCTCGAATCGGAGCTATTTTTATCCGGGGGTTTAAAGTTACACACATGTCAGACTCCGCCAATTGCGATCGATGCTTAATCGCACCGGGAGGAGGGTCGGGAATTCCAGCTGTTCAGCGAGGGGGGAAAACCTTTCTTAGGGATACCCTGGAAAGAGGGGCCGAGGCCCGACCCGATCGGCTGCTGCTCTGTTTCCTTTTCCCCTCCCCCCCTCTTTTCCTTTTTTCTTTTTTCTTTTTTTTTCCCCCTTTTTGTTCGGTTCCTTGCCGGCCTCTCCAGCGATCGCAGCATTTTGGAGGACAAAGAGCAGGTTTTTCCCTGCGAAGTGGCTTTGCTGTGTGTTTCTAGGAGCTGGGTAGGTAGAAAGCCCCGAATATCCGGGATTCCTCTCGGTGCCGGGCAGTTTCTGCCCTGCTCTTTCTGCCCCCTGACAAAAGGAACCCCAGTGGCTTTTCCAAAAGCAAAGCTCTCGTTGTCGGCTCTGCTTTCCTTGTTTTCCGAGGGGTGAGGGTTAGAGCAGTCGGTCTCCTGCGGACAACAAACTTAGGAAGTTGGATGTGTCAGATGACTCCTCAGCACTCCTCCCTCCCTCCCTCGCTCGCTCCCTCCCTCCCTCCCTCCCCGGCCTTTTTTGTTTGTCTGCCTGGCTCGCCCGGGGTGAGCCGCTCGCTAGGCCCCGAGAGCTTCCCTGGGGAATCTCCCCCTCTGGAAGCTGCTCTGGAATCAGGCTCTGCTTTGGGACACGGCAGCCGGGAGGGTCTCGGTGCTGCCCAGGGGAGGGACTGAAGGAATGTGCTTGAGGGCATCTCCTCCTCCTGGGCCTTTCAGGGTTTTGTCGCTGTGGAGGGTTTTTGTTTGGGGTTTTTTTTACCCCTCCTTTTTGCTGCCATTTTCATTACAGTTTCCCTTTTCATCCCCTTCATCCAACGGAGAATAATAGTATGGATTTATGGCCTGCCAAGGGCTACCTTTCCCAGGAGGGAGGGGGCACGAGCAGGGTGAATAACACTCCTGCCTTCTCCTGCTCTGACAGGTTTAGGAGCCGAGCGAGGTCTTTTTATGGCTCCTATTTTCAATCCTACCACGTCCGTGTCCTTTTGTGGATGCCTCTTTGTGAGGAGGGGAGGGGAGAGGTGCCTGCTCTCTCTCGGAGGGGCTGCAGGAAGGGCAGAGCTCTGCGGGGATGTGTACAGCCGATGTTTAATCATCTCCGGGCCAGGATGTGCTCCAACTCCCCGGCACTCATTGTCTCCCTCCAGGCCGGGTTTGTGCTGCTGGGGCTGGGAAAAGAGAGCCACGATCCCTCCTCCCCTTTTTGGGGGGCTCCCGGCAGAGTTTCCGGGGTGACCTGTGACCCTTCAGAGCAGGCTTTTGTAGGAAGGCTCTGTGCTCCCCAAAACACCTCAGCAGCGGCCTGGAAGTGTAGATTCTCCCACTGGGAAGCCCTGGGCCTTCAGGCCAGGCCTCTCTGGGCAGCTCCCACCCTGGGGATGGCAGAACAGGGGCTCCCCTTTGTGGTTCCCCCCGGCTTTGGGGCGAGTGCCAGCCCCGGAGCTCTGTTTGCAGGGAAAAGGCCTCGAGCTCTCGCAACTCCGCGGATTGGCTGCTCTGTTACTACCCGGAAACCGGGCCCGGGGCGGAGCGAGGCTGCAGCTGATCCAGGGGTGCCCCTGCCGGGCTGTTTACACCCATGGGGGACCCAGCCCGGCACCCCCGTACCCCCGGAGCCCGGGGCCGTTTCCCGTTCCAGCCCCGGGGTTCATTGTTGCGCTGCGCCCGCAGCTTCCCCTTGGCCGCGAGTTTATTTAGTGCTGATTTATTTTCCTCCTTTTGTGGAGAAACGCTGCTGGCTGCCTCGTAGTCCCCAAGCTCTATTTTTAAGCGTCAGAGCTGGAAAAGGGAAGTGTCACCCTGTTTTGTGCCTGAAAGGAATTATAAATAGTGGGCAGCTTTGTTTGAGCCTCCCTGCGCTGCCCGCTTTGCAGAGCCGGGGCTTTGGGAGCGTGGCTCACGGAGCCTCGCGCTCCCTGCTAATTTTAGGCTCGTCCTGAGTCAAGGAGAATAAAGGTACAAAGCTCCTTAGTTTACCTGCAGAGCGTTTTGTAATCTCCACACTCCCCCGGCCGTGTTTGCTCCGTGGAGGCAAAGGGTAGGACGGAGTTTACATTTGGGATAAATTCCTTTTTCTGCTCATTATAGGCTTACATGGCACTTCTCATCCCACTTGAACACCTTCCAAGAGCGGCGTTGAGCAATCGCGGGGTCACGTGGCCTGTCTTTGGCCTGTCCCCAGGGAAGAGCCTGTGCACTGGAATGTCTTGTTTTGGTAGGGTTTGGTGGGGCTTTGTTGGTTTTTTTTTTGGGGGTTTTTTGTTTTGTTTTGTTTTAAAGGACGGATATTTCTGGAAACTTTGAATGTAAATTTTCGAATGTCACGCTACGCTTCTTTCTGCCCCACTTCTGGGGCTCTGTGTTAATGAGGTCTCCAGGGATGAGGGGAATCGTGTGGTGATGCTTCAAAATGCACAAAGACCTGGCAGCAGCCCCTTGCCAGAACCGGGAGAGCCCCCCCTTTTCCCAGAAATGCTGTCACAGGTGGTGCTTTATAAATCAAATCAGGTAAACGTGGCTTGGGAGGTGGTGCCTGTCTTTAGGAGAACTCCTCATCCATAAATCTCTGCCTAAACCAAACCAACTGGAGGAAAATAAATAATCTTTGTTGCCTAAATGACAACTTCCAAGGGTATCATCTTGCTGCTTTTAGAGCAGAATTCAGAGCCTTTGCTGGTGGCTGGATGTTGTTTTTTTTCCCAAAAAATTGGCTGGAGCTGGAAGTTCCCTCTCCCTTTGTTGCTTTGTCAGTTGGACTGACAAAGGGCAGGATTTGGGAGCCGGGGCAGGCCTGAAAGCCAAGTGCACCTGTTTAATCATGGAGTTCAAACTGGGAAATGTGGATTTGCTTAGGGCTGCTTGGAGCAGAGTGCCTGGTGGAGCCTGACATCCCAGCCCTGCTTAAAATAATAAAAAATTGGGGTAATTTTAATTATTTCCCCATCTCATTCCCCAGACTCAGAGCAGAGTTTTTGGAATACTGAGGAGGAGTCTGGCAGGATGATGCTTCCCAGATTCCCAGTTCTGAAGTGGCATTTGGGCACTAAATGCTGATTAAACAAATTCTCGAGGCCTTTTCTTTGCTGTAACACTTTAAAAACCCCAAAAGTGAGCACGGGATTTCAGGAAAACAAACATTCCCTGTCAGATGATCTCCTTGCTCTCCCCTGCACTGGGTCCAGGAGGCTGTGCCAGCTGCTTTTCCTGCCTTTCCTAGGGAAGCTGGGCTGGGATTTTAGTAGGGGATTGGTTTTAGGTGTCACCAGGACTATTGGACCATCCTGGTGAGCTTTTGGAAACACTTCCCAGAGTGACTCCCATGTACTGGGCATTTCTGGGCAGCAGGAGCTGATAATGGGAGCTGGGAGCTGAGCCCCCAGCCCTGCACCCCCTGGCAGGTCCCAGGTTTTGGATGAAGCAGGAGATGCCCCTCACTGAGGCCCTGCATTGTTTCATTTCCAGGGGAAAATTACATTTAATCTTCACAGGAGTGTTCTGTCCTGCTTCTGCTCATCGTCAATGATGATTGGGTTTTTTAATGTTTTGGGGGTTTTTAAATCAATTTCTCCTTCAAACTCACCCTGAATTCCTGTCCTGCCCTGTTCCTGGAGGAGCAGACAGTCTGGGAGCTGAGGGGGTAAAATGAAAGTTTGGATGGACTTTTTCCTCTTTGCTTCGCTGGATTTTTTTCTTCCTCAACTAAAAGTCCTGATAGACTTTTTCCCTCTTTGTTCCCTTGAGTTTTATTCCTAAACTTCAAATCTTGATAGACTTTTCCCTTCTTTGTTTTCTTCTTTTTCCCCCTAAATTTCAAGTCCTGATAGACTTTTCCCCTTTTCGTTTCCTTGGGTTTTTTTCGTAGATTGAAAGCCTTGATGGACTTTTTCCCTCTTAGTTTTCCTCTTTTTCACCCTAAATTTCAAGTCTTGATAGAATTTCCCCTCTTTGTTTTCTCCTAAATTTCAAGTCTTGATTGACTTTTCCCCCCTCTTTGTTTTCCCCTTAATTTCAAGTCTTGATAGACTTTTCCCCTCTTTGTTTCCTTGGATTTTTTTCCTAGATTGAAAGCCTTGATAGACTTTGTCACTCTTTGTTTTCTTCTTTTTTTCCCCTAAATTTCAACTCTTGATAGACTTTTCCCCCTCTTTGTCTTCTTTTTTTTTTTCCTCTAAATTTCAAGGCTTCATAGAATTCCCCCCCTTGTTTTCCCCTGAATTTCAGCTCTTGATAGACTTTTCCCCTCTTTGTTTCCTTGGGTTTTATTCCTAAACTGCAAGTTCTGATGGACTTTTTTCCTTTTTGTTTTCTTCTTTTTCACCCTAAATTTCAAGTCTTGATAGAATTTCCCCTCTTTGTTTTCCCCTAAATTTCAAGTCTTGATAGACTTTTCCCCTCTTTGTTTCCTTGGGTTTTATTCCTAAACTGAAAGTCTCAACAGACTTTCCCCCTCTTTATTTTCTTCTTTTTTTTCCCCTAAATTTCAAGTCTTGATAGACTTTTCCCCTCTTTGTTTCCTTGGATTTCTTTTCTAGATTGAAAGCCTTGATAGACTTTGTCACTCTTTTTTCTTCTTTTTTCCCCCTAAATTTCAACTCTTGATAGACTTTTCCCCCTCTTTGTCTTCTTTTTTTTTTTCCTCTAAATTTCAAGTCTTCAAATAATTTCCCCCCTTGTTTTCCCCTGAATTTCAGCTCTTGATAGACTTTACCCCTCTTTATTTCCTTGGGTTTTATTCCTAAATTGCAAGTCCTGATAGACTTTTTTCCTTTTTGTTTTCTTCTTTTTTCCCCCTAAATTTCAAGTCTTGATAGACTTTTCCCCTCTTTGTTTCCTTGGGTTTTATTCCTAAACTGAAAGTCTCAACAGACTTTCCCCCTCTTTATTTTCTACTTTTTTCCCCCTAAATTTCAAGTCCTGATAGACTTTTCCCCCCTCTTTGTTTTCCCCTAAATGTCAAGTCTTGATAGACTTTCCCCCTCTTTGTCTCTTTATCCTAGGAAACATTTATTTATTATTTATTCTAGGTTTCATTGCTAGATTGAAAGCCTTGACAGGCTTCTCCCCTGTTGGTTTCCTGGTTTTTCCCCCTTCCATGAAGGCAGAGCAGCAGGAATGGGGCTGTTGGGGAGGGCAGGTGCCTCTGGAAGCCCCCAGAGCTGGGTGCAGTGTCACCAAATGTTCTCAGCACCTGTTGGTGCTCAGTGCCCTCCTCTAACCGTGCTTGGATTGGGATAAGCACATCCCAGGCTGTTGGGAAGGGAGGGAGGAGAGAGCCCACAGTTCAAGTGACAGGCTCCCATATGGAGCAGATTCCCAGCCAAACTCCTCCTGCCTTCACTGTCTGCTTGACTCAGAGGTGATCCCACTCTGAGGCAGCAGTGCCTGAATTTTCCTGCTGTCCTGGGCTTTATTCTGGCAGCAAAAATGCTGAATAACATTTTTATTTTTCCAAATATGAGAGGTGAATTATAGATGTGGGTGTGAGTATCAGAGCTCAGCTCTTCATTGTGTCTTCCTGTGTGCATTCAGTGCCTCCATGTCCCTGGGGGTTTTGTCCAGGCATGTGTGGAGCCATGAGCACAGGGCCCTGCTCTTTGTGTCTCCTCAGCAGAACAGAGCCCTGGTGACTGAAGGATCACCCAACCTTGGCATCTCTGCTGTGCAGCCCCCGTGGGTCCCTCCCAGCAGGAGCCTCTGATGAGGGTTGGGGTTTGGCTGCTCACAGTGACCCCAAGATGTGTCACAGAGTCTCTTTTCCCAGCCTGGTGCTTGAAGAAGGAGTCAGGGCTCTTCAGTTCTTGGTCTCAAGGTTGGTCATTGTTTCTTATCTAGAAAATTCTTTCTCCTGTCCAGCTGAGATCCATCCAGCAGGACAGACAGAGGCACTCTGCCTGCCCCTGGGGTGGTGTTATGTCTTTATACTAAAAACTACCTGTACAATATTCACCATAACTTCCCAGTACCTATCCCTATGTTAGACACTGAGCTTCTACCCTAAACCAATCCAAAAGTGCCACCATCACAGCAGGAGATGGAGGCCAGGAAGAAGAAGGAGAAAGGCTGGGCACACGCATATCCCTCCATCTTGCCTCCTGAACCCCCATACCAGAAACCCCAAAATCTACTTTTCCACCCCATGATATTATCACTGTTATTCCACTGCACTGTCATGGCCTGCAGATCTCCATCTGAGGTTGGTGATTTGCTCCATTTGCTCCATGATCAGAACCACAGGGGCATCTTGGGCTCTGTGCCAGGGTCTCTGAGCCCCCTGGCAGGGTCTGGGCTGGTGCTCCAGGGATGTCCTGGGCTCCCACAGGTGAGCTCTGGGATGGGATGGATCCCCCAGCCCATCCCAGGGACATGGGCTCACTTGCTTTTGCTGCTGGGTCTCACTTCACTTTTCCCTGCTGCTTTTATTCCTTTTTTCACCTCCTTGGGGTGCTCAGAGCTGGTTGTGCTTGGGTGAGGGTGCCCCTGGAGTGCTGTTAGTGCAGAGGAGGGCAGGATTCCCTGTGCCATCACCAAGGCTGTCTCTTCCCAGGATTTCCATCTGCTGTCCCCCCTCATCTGTGCTGGTGTGCACAGGGGTCCCAGGATGAGGGAAGAGATGAGGATCTCACTCCATGGTTCAGAAGGCTGAGTTATTATTTTATGGTATATATTATATTAAAACTATACTAAAAGAAGAGAAGAAAGGATTTCATCAGAAGGCTGGCTAAGAATAGAAAAGGAAAGAATGATAACAAAGGCTTGTGGCTCAGAGAGTCTGAGCCAGCTGACTGTGATTGGCCATTAATTAGAAACAACCCCATGAGCCCAATCCCAGCTGCACCTGTTGCATCCCACAGCAGCAGATAACCATTGGTTACATTTTGTTCCTGAGGCCTCTCAGCTTCTCAGGAGGAGAAATCCTCAGGAAAGGATTTTCCATGAAATGTGTCTGTGACACTCATCCCATCGCCTTTACAACCCCTCACCTCCAGCTGCTGCCTCCTCATCTTCACTCCCCATCTCTTCCCAGCTCCTCAGCCTCCCTAGAGATCTGCCTGAGGTTGAGGGTGGATTTAATCTCTTGGAAAACAGTGATTTGCTGCTTCTTGTGTATGCAGTAATGATAGGGTTGGTTCTGGATTCAGGACTTGGCCACTGTTTTATTTTGCAGCTTCCAAGAGCCATCCTCTAATCTTAAATCCCTTCAGTGATTCCCTGGAGCAGATTGGTGCAGCCTTCCAGGAGAAGCCAAACCACTCCCAGATCACTTGGCACGAGATGCTGCAGAGCAGTGGAGGGGGGATCACCTGTAAACGGAGCTGGTGCTCTGTGCCATGAGTCCCTTTAAACTGGGACTTACAGAGCAGGGCTGGCATCCTGCATGATCCATGATCCACGTCCAGGAGGTGATGGAGACTCCCAGATATTCGTGACTCAGCCTCAGGAAGGGCTAGAGCCATTTTGGAGTGGTTTTGCTGAGGGTCAGATGCTGCTTTCCAGAAATTGCTGCATTTCCCTGTGCTTGCTTTCCTTGGAATCACTACAAGAAAACAGCAGAAAATATTTTTTTGTTAAGGATTGTACAAATAGAGCGTCTGGGTGGACAATTCTGAGAGGTTTTGCAATCTCTGGCTTTAATTGTTTGGGGGTTCTTGGTGTTATTTCCTTAAAAATGTTTTGAATTTGTTGATGTTTTCTTGGGGAAAAGTCTACATTGATGACATTTGCTGCCTTTTAGAGGAGCTTCGCCCCGGAGGCTTTGTGTCATTCCCTGTGAGCGGTTAAAAGCTGACAGTTGATTATTAAATAAATTTTGCATTATTTGCCAAATTCCAGGGGGCTTTTACCTGGCTTTGAGCAGTGACAGGGGTGGAAATGAGAGCTTTGTGAGCACTGCTGGGGCTGTGGGATGGCAGGGAAGGGCAGGGGTGAGGTGCTGCCCTGCATGATGAAGGAATGGCATTGGGAGAGGAGGAGCCAGGAATGGCATGGGAAGGTGAGCTGGGGATGTTAGCACCAGGGACAGACACTGGCTGGCTGTAAAATACAGGAGTTTGGATAAAACAGATTTTAGGGTAGGATCAGCTCCAAGCATAACCCCCTGAAGAAGTAAAATCCAGTGTGTGATACTGAGCCTGAGTGTCCTGGATTAACCTCCACCGTGGTAGATTAATGGATGCAAAGTTGAAAAGATTGATAAATTATTAACTTAACCACGCTGGCAATTTTTTTTTTCCCTTTTGTGGGCTGTGGTGCTTTGTTTTGCCTTGGTGCTGGCAAGTCCAGGCCTGCTCTGAGGCTGTGTCCGAGGAGACTCCCGAGTTCTGCAGCAGGAGAGCTGCATGAGAACACATCCCTGGCTTGCCTGAGCAGGGACTGAAAGTGATTTTGCTCTTAAAGGAGTTTCTGAGTCAAAATGCAGTTTTAAAACTGGGCTCTGAAGCTCTGGGATTATCGGCATGGCCACGGTTTAAGAGCGAAGGCTCCTCTTGGTTTTGGAAATGAAGCTGCTCCTTTAAGCCTTGCTCAGTGGAGTGTGAGTGCTGTGAAGCCAGGTCTCTTTTTAGCTTGCAAAGGGCCAGGTTTAGCTTGCAGGTGCATTTGGGGAGGGGAGTGTTTGCCTTTTTAAAACATAAAACTGGGAGGTCTGCACTGAGAGGAGCCTGGAGGAGCAGGACATGGAATCATGGGGTGTTTGTGTGGGAAGGAGCTCAAAGATCACCCAGTTCCCAGCCAAGCCATGGGCAGGGACCCTTCCCCAGCCCAGGGTGTCCCACACAGCCCGTCCAGCCTGGCCTTGGGCACTCCCAGGGCTGGGAACCCCCCATGTGCCTGGGCAGAGAGAACAGGGCATGGAATTGGTGAGAGATGCAGCCCAAACGTTGCCTTTGGTTCCTGGATGCTCCCAAACTGATTTGTTCTGGCAAAACCCTTTTCTAATCCACCCTTTGTTTAAATGCTCCTTTTATTTCCCTGCTTTTTCTTCCTTTTTGGGAATGCTGGGAGGTTTTTCCCTGCTGCTAAATCAGGTGAAAGCTGCTCCATCAGGGGAAGCCACCGCTCCCTCACCCTCTCCTTTCTACTGAAACTGGGTTTGTTTTTCTTCTGTCTGATGCCATTAATTCAGACTCAGTGACCTTCCCCCTGAGATCCCCAAAGCCAGGAGGGCTGGCCCTGCTCTCACATGGCAGCCAGGCAGGTTTTAAAGCTCACAAAGCCCCGGCTGCTTTGGTGCTGAGCTCATCTTCTGTGGCAGGACGTGCCCATGGCTCAGCAGCACTGGGATCCCTTCCCAAGGCACCCAATCCATCCCCCTTGGCTGTGCTGCTGAGCTTTAGGAGCTCTCTAAACACAGAGCCAGGTTTGGGAACCAGCAGGGGCTTTGTTTGGGTGAGGAGACAGTCAGGGGCTGATTTCTGCTGGTTTTGGGAATGGCCTTGCCTGGGAATCCTCAATTCCAGAGTCAAGGGGGCTGAAATAAGGGAATGATCCTTCCAGGAGTGCAGAGTTATCTGGGAATGTCACATCTCTGCAGGGGCTTTGTTTGGATAAGAACACAGTCAGGGGCTGATTTTTGCTGGTTTTGGGAATCCTCAATTCCAAAATCTACAGGGCTGAAATAAAGGGAATGATCCTTCCAGGAGTGCAGAGTTACCCTGGGAATGTCACATCTCTGCAGAGGCTTTGTTTGGGTTAGGAGACAGTCAGGGACTGATTTTTGCTGGTTTTGGGAATGGCCTTGCCTGGGAATCCTCAATTCCAAATCTACAGGGCTGAAATAAAGGGCCAACCCTTCCAGGAGTGCAGAGTTACCCTGGGAATGTCACATCTCTGAGGTGACTCAGCGTGGCTGCACTGATTTATTCCTTGCTGCTCCTGAAGCCACCTCCTACTTTTTGTTTCCCACTGTTTATATTTAATTTTTTTTTCTTTTGAGGCTGTGTCAGTGTTGAATTGAGGGAAGCAGTGGAAATAAGGAAGCTGAATGATCAGTGCTTTGTTTAACATCGTTGGTAATTTAATCCTCCTGGCCCAGGGCAGGAATCCTTGCCTGGATATTGGAGAAAGCTCAGATCCCAGCAGCAGAATGTGCTTTGAGAAGGGGGCACTCGGGGCTGGGTTGAAAAGCTGGGATGTCAGAAATCAGATGCCGGTAAGTGAGAGCCAGAGCCTGTGTTCCTTGAAAGGGAAGGTATGTGAGGAGGTGTGAACTCACCCTGTCCCACTGGAGCTGCTCCACGCTTTTTTCAGCTCCTGTGCCTCCTGGGAAGCCCCAGGGTCTGGGGTTTAAACACTTTTTGTCATGCTCACAGCTGCTGAGAAGGCTGCAGGTTACTCGGAATCCACTGGTTTTTACTCCATGGTTTCTGCCGTGGTTTGTTTGGTGTTGCCATGAAAAGGTAATTTTAATTCTCTTTTAAATGCTTGCCCAGTTTGGAGCAAAAATTGCCCAGAAAATCACCACATTCTGCAAACTGGGCAGGAGGCAGAACCAGTGTGGAGAAAACCCAAAACCAGCAGTGACAGGGTTGGGAAGTGCTTCAGACCCCCAGTTTGGCAGGACTGAAGAAATATTCCCACATAATTTTAGCAAATTCACTGTTCAGCTGTGAGCCCTGCTTGGAGTAAAATCGAAACTTGAGCCTTGCCAGATGAAACAAAAGATCCCCTAAAATGAGCTGGTGAGCAAGAATGTGCCCCTGATGGGTCCCTTTGGTCCCTGGGAGGGCCCCATTTTGCATTTCAAGGTTTGCCACAACTTTGCTCTTGCTCTGAGATCGGGAAATTTGCTGACCTGTATTTAAAGCATCTGCACATCCTGGTGCTAAACTCAGTTTTACACATTCAGGGAATAGATTGTGGAGGACAGGGCTGTGTTTGGCTCTTCTGGTGTGTCCCAGAGGGTCAAATCCCCCTCAGCTGCATCCCAACAATCCCTGCAGCTCCCCAGGTGTGTTCCCAAACTGCCAGAGCTTTTTAAAGGTCATTTCTCTGGAAAAAATCAGGAATTTTCCTCACTTCAGCAGCATTTATTGGAAAAGAGTGAGGGGTAAGCCAAGATTGACCTGTTCCACCTGTTTAAATGTAGCAAGAAATGGGGTTGTGGGCTTTGTGCAGGGATTCTGTGGTGGCAGAGTGCTGAGAGAGAGCCCTGGTGCCTCTTCTCAATGTGGCTTTGGGGCTTTTTTCCCATTAATTTTTATCTGGAGTTGGTTGGATAAGTGGGAATTGGGTGTGAGAAGAGTTTGTGTTATAACACAGCAAACCTGCTCTAGGGAAGCTGTGGGAATCAGGTCATCTTTAGGGTCCTTTCCACCCCAAAATTCCATATGAACTGGCTGCTTTGAGCCTGACCCAGCCTCTCTGTCTTGGGAGAGGCAAATTTTAGTCCTGTGCTGCTCAAAGTTGAGTTTGCTGAGGTTTGTTTCTTTTTGGGCTTCAAAGTTTTGCAGGGGCTTCCTGCTGAGTGTGGCTGTGCAGGATTCTGCAGGCTCAGGAGATGCATTAATGGGGCTTTTAAAGAGTTTTGAGATGCATTAATGGGGTTTTTAAAGAGTTTTGAGATGCATTAATGGGGTTTTTTAAAGAGTTTTGAGATGCATTAATGGGGTTTTTTAAAGAGTTTTGGAGGTTTTTTTCAGCTCAGTAACCACCGAATCCTTTAAATTGTCCTCTGTGGCTCTTGGTGGCTTCCAGAGTCACAGGTTTCTCTGGTGCCACCCCAAGTTCAGTGCCATTAAGGCATTTCAGGGTATTCTGTGTGTGAGTTTCTCTTGCCAGTTTGCTCCAGGCTTGGAAAGCTCCAGAGGTGAAGCCTGGGATGGGTGAACTCCATAACCCTCTGCAGATTTTGTTTTATTTCCAGGGGCAGCTGGGAACGTGCTGCTGGGCATCCCAGGAAAAGCTGGATGGGGCTGAAAGCTTTGATATTCTTTTTACAAGGCGCTTCAAACAGCAAAAAAAAAAAACCTAAAAGGGGCATTTCCCCTAATCCTGTCAGGATATGGAATGGATCAGGAGCAGGAACCACTTGGCTCAGGCAGATCCTTGGGGTGCAGGTGTGAAGCATTGCCCACATTTGGTATTTTGGGTCTCCTGGAGGAGGCAGCAGATCCTTGGGGTGCAGGGGTGAAGCATTGCCCACATTTGGTATTTTGGGTCTCCTGGAGGCAGCAGATCCTTGGGGTGCAGGGGTGAAGCATTGCCCACATTTGGTATTTTGGGTCTCCTGGAGCACCCAGCAGATCCTTGGGGTGCAGGGGTGAAGCATTGCCCACACTCCCATTTGGGTCTCCTGGAGCACCCAGCAGATCCTTGGGGTGCAGGGGTGAAGCATTGCCCACACTCCCATTTGGGTCTCCTGGAGCACCCAGCAGATCCTTGGGGTGCAGGTGTGAAGCATTGCCCACATTCCCATTTGGGTCTCCTGGAGCACCCAGCAGATCCTTGGGGTGCAGGGGTGAAGCATTGCCCACATTTGGCATTTTGGGTCTCCTGGAGCACCCAGCAGATCCTTGGGGTGCAGGTGTGAAGCATTGCCCACATTCCCATTTGGGTCTCCTGGAGCACCCAGGAGGCAGCAGATCCTTGGGGTGCAGGTGTGAAGCATTGCCCACATTTGGTATTTTGGGTCTCCTGAAGGAGCCAGCAGATCCTTGGGGTGCAGGTGTGAAGCATTGCCCACATTTCCATGTTGGGTCTCCTGGAGCACCCAGCAGATCCTTGGGGTGCAGGGGTGAAGCATTGCCCACATTTCCCATTTGGGTCCCCTGGAGCACCCAGCAGATCCTTGGGGTGCAGGGGTGAAGCATTGCCCACATTGGCATTTGGGTCTCCTGGAGCACCCAGGAGGCAGCAGATCCTTGGGGTGCAGGTGTGTAGCATTGCCCACATTTCCCATTTGGGTCTCCTGGAGCACCCAGGAGGCAGCAGATCCTTGGGGTGCAGGGGTGAAGCATTGCCCACATTTGGCATTTTGGGTCTCCTGGAGCACCCAGCAGATCCTTGGGGTGCAGGGGTGAAGCATTGCCCACATTTCCATGTTGGGTCTCCTGGAGCACCCAGGAGGCAGCAGATCCTTGGGGTGCAGGTGTGAAGCATTGCCCACATTCCCATTTGGGTCTCCTGGAGCACCCAGGAGGCAGCAGGGCTTTGCCACGTGCCCATCCCTCTCTCAGGAAGTGGCTGGAGCTGCCACAGGCGTCACACAAACCCACATCAGCTGCTTTTTAGGTCATTACCAGACTGGGCTAAATTTAGCCCGTGAGCCAGAAGGGGGAGGTTTTGGATCCCAGTTCCTGCCCCATCCCTGGTTCTGGGCTGTGCCTCTGCTGAAATCCCTGGGGTTTTAATCCCACTGGGCAGGGACAATCTGAGCTTGGCTTGGGAAGCTCCTGGAGGAGGAATTGGAGGTGGAATTGCAGGGAGGAGTAACAGGACATGGAGATTCTGCATGGACCAGGGGTTGAGTCCCATCCAGGGCTGCCAGCGTGGCCAAGAGGAGAATCCTGGCCCATTTCTGTGTATGGAGCAGCTCCATATCCCAGAAAACTGTGCCTTGCTGAGCTCTGCTTGCTGCTGGAGATTTGTGTAGGTTTAGGGTGGGAAAGGGAGAAAACCACTTCTCTCATTACCCTGTACATTTATCTCAAGGAAGGAATGTTCCCACTTCTTTTTTTTGTTTTGTTTTGTTTTTTTTCTTTCCTCCAAGCCCCACATCTCTGCTAACATTGTCACATGGCAGAGATGAGTAAAGGGGAGGAAAATCAGTCACTGTGGCAGCACAAGGGAAAATTGCTGGGAGCAGTGTGCTGCTTCTGGAATTCCAAGCTGTCTTTATTTGAACTTCCTTGGTTGTTGCAGCATCCTGGTTCTGTGCAGCAGCAGCACGCTGCTTAATTGGGATTTTGTTATTTGTGTATTAGTAATATTGTCCTCCAAATGGCTTCAAGCGTGTCAAGGCTGCTTCATTCTGATTTCTTGGAGCAGGCTGTGGTAAATGTGTGCCTTTGAAAGGCTGCCTGCCTCTGCCGGGGGTCACCTGGAATTCAGAGCATCTGGCAGAGGTCGGCTCCAGGCTTTTTGTTCTGTGCTGGGGAAAGCTCGGGGGGTTTTTATCAGCTCCTCTCTGAAGGAGGAGACACTTCAAACTTGTGACAAAATCCCACTTTCCAGGCAGCTGCACCTGCTAACGACTGAACTGTTAATTAGTTTTTAGTGCCGTTGCAGTGGTGCTGCTTTGTCTCTCCTATAATGGTGCTTCAAAGAAAGGATGTCAAGGAATCTTCAGTTTCAGCTGAATTTAACTAATTATGAGAAAGCTCTGCCTTCAGAGACCCAAACACAGCCCAAAAGCTGGGAATGGCAGTGTCCTGAGAGTGTGGGGTGTATTCCAGGCCTGAACCCAAAGCTCAGCTTCCATTTTAAACTGCCTGCTGGTATTTTTTTTTTCTTTCTGATCCACACAACAAACCCCAGGTGCTGTTATTCCTGTGGGGAAAGCTCCAGGTGAGTTTTCCTTCCTGCAGCTCTGTGAAATAGAAGGACACAGAAGCAGGGATGGCTGATTGGTGACACTCCCCTGGGCTCTGAGGTGGGAGGGCTGGGATAATGGAGCCTGAGCAGCTGTGCTGGAGCAGGGTCTGGATCAGCAGTGAGGATGAGCTGCTCCTGATCCCAGCAGATGCAAACTCTCCCCTGTGTCCTGCTTTCCCTCTCCAGGTGGGTTTGGTGCTTCTGGGGGGGGAATTCACTTCCCAGAGCTTCCAGCAGTGACAGCACCTTCCAGACTCTCCCAGGGGAACATCCCAGTCCTTCTCAGCCCTCCCACTCCCCATCCTGGAGGTTGTTTTGGAGGAATCTTGGCCACAGTGACCAGGACTTTGTGTTCTGTGCTCCACCAACACCCTCTGCTCTGCTGCTGCTGCTGCTGTTACCAAAAAAATTCCCTTTTTCCTTTCCTCTGGTTGTGCTGGTGTCACCTGTGCCAAAGTGGCTTTAATGAACCCTTCCAGTGCTTTAAGGGGGGTTATAAAAGGAGGGAGAGGGATTTGGAATGGCCTGGAGGGACAGGATGAGGGGGAATGCCATCAACTGAGAGAGGGGAGTTGCAGGTCAGGTATTGAGAGGGAATTCCCAGAGCAGCTGCATCCCTGGCCAGGCTGGGTGGGCTTTGAAGCAGCCTGGGATGGTGGAAGGTGTCCCTGCCATGGCAGGGGGTGGATGTTGGGTGAGTTTTAAAATCCCTTCCCACCCAAACCATTCCATGATTTTAATCCCTGCCTTGCTATCATCAGAGGCTTCCCATAATCAGAGGAATCCCCAGTGCTTGAACACAGCCTGGGCCTCTTCCTTCTCTTTCTGGTGCAGCTGCTGAGGCAGGAGGATCTCCAAAGCCTGCAAACCATAAAAATTAATTACAAATAGGTGTTTGCCATGGCAGCTGTGCTGGGCCCTGGGCAGCCTCCAGCCCTGGCTGTGGGTTTGTGGTCCTGGCCAGCCCTGGCTGTGGGTTTGTGGTCCTGGCCAGCTCAGCTCAGCCATGAGCACCCAGAGCTGCCAGGCTGTGCTGCTCCCTCCTTGGCCGCTGCCTTTGGCTGCTCCTGCGGGGTCATTGTTCACCCAGCCTGGCTCTCAAGCACAATGTGTCTTTAGACCTTCAGCTTGCAGGAAAATCCTGTGTCCTTTCCCAAGGAATCCCTTGGGAAAGGCCAAAAACCC